ACACACCCACACCCACACCCACACCACACCACACCACACCACACCACACCACACCACACCACACCACACCACACCACACACCCCATCACACACCTCACCTCACCACACCACACTACACCACACCACACCACACCACACCACACCACACCATACCACACCACACCACACCACACCACACCACACCACACCACACCACACACCCACAGCCACACCACACCACACCACACCACACCACACCACACACCCCATCACACACCTAATCACACCACACCACACCACACCACACCATACCACACCACACCACACCACACCACACCACACCACACCACCACACACCACACCACACACCCCATCACACACCCAATCACACCACACAGCACATACCCACACACCACACAACCACAAATCACCCACCCACGCCACATCACACACCCACACATCACACCACAAAACACCACATCACACACCCACACACCACACAACCACATGTCACACACCAATACAGCACACACCACACACACACCAAACCGCGCCGCACCACACTACACATCACACCATACTACACATCACACACCCATACACCACACACCCACACACACCAAACCGCACCGCACCACACCACACATCACACCATACTTCACATCACACACACACACACACACACACACACACACACCACACATCCATACACCACACTCACACACCACACACCACACATCATCCATCCACACATCACACACCCACCCACCACCCATCAGATCTCACATCACCCTACCACACACCACACACCAAACCACACCTAAACACCACACACCCATACACACCACACGCCCACGGACCACACACAAACACACCCATACACCATACACCACACACCACACACATCCATACACCACACACCCACACACCACACACAACACACCCATACACCACACACCCATACACCACACACACCACACACCACACACCACACACCACACACCACACACCCATACACCACACACCCACACACCACAAACCCATACACCACACACCCACACTCCACACTCCACACTTCACACTTCACACTCCACACTCCACACACCACACACATCACACACACAGCCACCACCCCCACCCCCATCCCCACACCCACCCCCACTTCCCCCAACCCCCACACACCACACCACACACAGACCTGACATTATATTTTTTTATAAATAGCTTGATGGTCATAAATTACGTTGGTCTGGTCAAACTGCTACATGTGCTGGAACCGTGAGATAAATTACCGGTACACCGATCGTGGTCACGTGGTGACGGATATCCAGCAAACGCCATCACTCTCTCCAATATAATACAATCTTGTGTTCCAGAAACCCCGAACTATTAGTTTAAAGAAAGTCTGCATACACATGCCATTACCTCGTTTGTTGATCACCGATGTGTTTACCTGACGATTTCATTAAAAACGTTACCGTGAGTATTAACGTAGATTCTGTGTATATAATTCAGTTTGTATATTCCAGAGCTAAATACGCTGAAAGTTTGATTTACTTGTCTAGACACAAAATCGCATTGTCAATAATTAATTTAGATGAGGCATGATTGTTCAGTTTCACCCGTATACGGTATCAGTAGTTGTGTAATCATAATTCAAATAAGCCTTTAATTCTATAGCACTGCCATAACAGTACCGTTAGCTACAGGACCAGCCGTCCGTCAATAGAAATATAATATTCAAACAATAGCGAACAGCTCGTCGGTGTGCGTGGTTGTGGGTAAAGCCCAGTGTTTGTGTTAGTTCAGCCGTCATACAGACAGGAACCAGTGTCGATGCATTAGTGGTTGTGTACACATTGCCGGATAGCAGATAACTGATAGCTTTGTAAACATCATGGGATTAAATCTACGCTTAATACGATGGACCCCGGCATGAATTTCCACCATTTTCATTTGGAAATTCGAAATCGGAAATAAACATGTTGTGCAGATTCTGTCTAAATGGCCATGACCAGTTCTCCTACTAATAAACTATGCAAATGGACCTAAATTGACTATTTACATACACAATTGGCCAATACCCCATGCGGAGATGGTATTACACATTTATCAGAAATGAGGTTTACAATATTCGTGTACGATGACACATTATTTACCTACATAATTACATTCATTTCTAAGTACAGTAACGGCAGGGTCGCGTGTAGGTTTGCACTTGTTCTAGGTTACACGCACCAGTTGTTGCAAATAAAAGTCATGTATTTTCTATGGAAAATATATATATTTTACGAACGCTTCTTTCGGCATTGTTTTATGTGTTGCCGCAATACAACACTATAAAATAAGTTTGTATTTTCCTTCAAGATTCTTTTTCAAAATTATACTTTGGAAGCGCCGCCGATTTACAGGCCTACACGAAGTAATTTTTTTTAGGGTGGGGGCGGATGTTGGGGTGGGGGTGGGGGATGGGGTGTGTGGGTGGGGGGTAAGTGTGTGTGTGGTGGGGGGGTGGGGGTGGGGGGGGTGGGGGGGGGTGGGGTTGCTAATATTGCCTATATTGTCAATCCGGGGTATTATAATATTTTCGTGACTTTCGAGATACCATACCAGTGGATACCTGATTAGAATTAACAATAGATGTATTAAATAAGGGTGTAAGGTAATATAAGTGAGTCAATATATGTAATACATTGTGAATATATATTTAGCGGCGTTCATAGTATATGCAGTAACCGGTATTTCAAACTGTGGTTGGGAGTTGTCATCATCTGATAGTCTATATGCAAAGAAAATTGACACAATGAAGAACGGTATGATTCTCATTCAGATACACTGTCGGGGCATATGAGTCTTCACATTCTTTCCGCGATTGGATTCATCTTGTGGTAGTTAAGGGCAACTGCTCTAACTTGGTTATCCAGAATATGATTTCACCTTGGATCAATTAAATAGACCTCTTGCACATGGATATAAAAAAGACGGCTTGCTATCAAAAATGGTAGGTTACAATGTGGCGGAAGTTAGCTATAGTTTCGTAACCGTTCATGTTTAGAAATTGCGTTTGACCATAATGTAAATCGTTCTAAAAATCGACACTCACACATTGTGTTAGAAATATGCAACGAAATGGTAAACTGTCGTGTTTTAACAGCATATCGAGTAATATACTGGTTTCAGTACGCGATGCCATACAGCCCTGCGAGTGCTACCTCAGCGCTAAGGATGACACACCGAAGATGTGTTACGTTTCTTTACGAAAGTGGCGTGACTTCAGACTGGGGTAATCCTAATTCTAACGTTAGTGGTTAAGGTGAACATAAAATAAGGCCTTGACAGTGTACACACAGCTCACGTGCGATCATTCGAAGAATAGCTCACATAATACTAACAAAAAGGGGCGTATGAACATTACTGGTTACTGACAAGTTGGGGAAAATTACTGCTACATCCACGCTTGTTTCAAGAACTGACGTACACCGGGATCGAAATGTCAGAATGCGTGAACTTACTGATTGTGTGTCATTGTGACCTGACTTGTGGGTGCATGGGTGCTCATGCCATCGCCCACTGGTATGGCTGGTCCGAATATTTACACGCTGCTTTGATAAACATGGAGTATTGAAAACTGCGGTTCCTCTCATACCGAGTCACACGTACAATTCCCGTCATTCATAAACTATACAACTTCCGCACTAGGTCAGGGCTGGTCAAACCTATGAAGACATTCAGTCTACACCGAGTCAGGGTTTCGGCAATAGCATTTTAATCTTAGAACTCTATCAATCTTCAGGTGGATTGTTCCAAATACGTTTGGTAGTTTTTCTTTATAAACTGAGGAGCAAAAGAAACTACACCTCTAAGTTGATTTTATCAGATGTTTGGTTTTCAACTGAAAATATCTTAAGTTGGTGATAGTATATCCAAAACATTAACTGTCCTGGCGCTTAATCAGCACCCAGAGAATACCTCCACATGGTTTTATTTTTTAAAAATATTATTTGAATTTAAACTATTACCAATTTAAACCAAAATTCCAATAATACACAACTACTGATGGGTAATAATTTGCTGTTTTCGGCACAAATGCACAACATTTCAAACATGATAAGGGTCACGTTGTAAATTCATTTCTTGTCCCATACGTCAGTGGACCAATTATTTTTACACAAAATTACCAACACATTACTTTTCACAAAATATTGCAGAAATGAGGGATGGTTGAATAGGCACAATCAAATTTAACAACAGTTCTATTTCAATTACATAAAAAACTCGGTAACTATACTTCATTTTGCCCCTCAGTTTATTATTTGTTTTTCACTTTACCTTTTAGAATTTCCAGACATACACTCAGCCATGTTTAATTATTACTTTTGTGGACATTCGCTGTGGTGTCTTGTGCTTTAGTGTAGCCAGTTCTAAACAAGCGCGATAAAGAGATGGATTTATGTTCAGAGGCGAGTCGATTTGAGAAGAACTCAGAAAAACTCTAGCACACCCCAGCCACCGTAGATACCGATATAGCCTACATGGCGTGTGTAATGGTACAGGTTAGGTTTCAAATAACACAAATAAATACGTTTCAGCGGTGAGGTAGGGTTCTATTGTTGGTGGCCTTCTCAATGCTCTTGCTGTAGTTTCTTAAAGCGGGGCCCCATTCATTCACCACATACTCTAACTGATAACAATCTTATCTGATGTCCACGACTTCGTTACTCAATGGTTGTTAATATAGCTTGCATCCCTTAAAGTCGCTAAATGAATCAACCCCCTGACAGCTGAGCGAAGTTCATTTCCACGATGTTAAATTGCGATGTTTTATTTGTCCCGTATACCTATTACGGGCCACCCTATGTGCCTGACAACCCCAAAGCATGTATTTATAATTGTTGGATGTCATTGTTCCGGCGGTGTTACTCTGCCCCATCTGTCTCTGCTCGGGAGATCCGCGCTTCATGCGACCGGAAGTTGCCTCTTCTGTGGAGGCGGGGACAAGTCATACAACAAGACTCAGTCAAGTTAAAGGTACACCTCGTAGGTTGAGAAGACACGAATTGACACACTGTGTTCCGATCTAGTTCAGTCTCTGCAGCACAGTCTATGAGAGGGCAATGCCACTTTAAAAATTAGTGTGGTCAGAGCGTCGTGTCCCTGCAAAGGTTGATGAGGCGTCATTAAGCAAGATGGCGTCCCTCCTCTACGCTGTCTTATTGATGTCGTGCATTCCGTCACTGTCATGTTTCAAACGAGGTAAGACACTCTGTCATTAGTTCATACAGGTGTTAGGTAATTCATGTAAGTGTTTAGTTGTCAGTTGTCTCTTTATTACTGTCCGTAGAACGGCCGCCACCGTGGTCTAGTGGCAGAGCGTCCGCCCAGAGAGCGGAAGGTCCGGGGTTCGATCCCTGGCCGCGTCATACCAAAAGACGTTAAAAGATGGTACTTGTTGTTACCCTGTCTGACGCTCGGCATTAAGGGGCTAAAACAAGGACTGGTCGCCTCGGAGTCAGTATACTGTGTCTGAGTGGGGTATGCATGTTGAACTGCGGCATGGTATCTCAGTGTGCTAGCACTATAAATCGGCAAGCAGACACACACACACGTGCATGCACGTCGCTATATAAGTGCAATAATCATGGACGCGACGTTTAACCCCATTTCACCTCAAATCAACTACCTGTCCTAGTACACATCCATTATGTTGTATCAGTAAACACATAATACAGTCAGAGTTAGTACGGAGGCCGTTAACCTTGTTTGGAACCTTCACACAAACAGGAGCCAATACACATGAGTCCATAAACAGGATTCGTTAATAACCTTGTTAATCCGGACGATATCAGGGTTTCACTTTACATGCATCCTCATTATTATGTACATATTAAAATAAAGGGTTCAGGTGATCCTGGCACAGTCAGGCTGGTTAGGCTCATCATCAGCTCAGGACCCTTGCCCCCTCTACATGCAGCCCAGACAGCAAACGGGACTTCTCACAGGAAGCGCTGCCTAGTCAAACCCACCCAGAACTTTTCGGAGAATGTGAAGACTCCCCAACACTGCAGCCTTCTGCATTACCCAGATTGTCAGAAGGGCTGTATTCCTGGTAGCAAACCCGGGTACTCTCCCAATGTCAGTCAACAGATTAGGAGGTACCAAACGTAAGGCACCGAGAACAATGGGCAGTCAGACAACTTAGTATTTGGGATGCAAGCGTGGCATTTTGAAAGCGAGGTCCGCATATTTGACATGTTTTTCCTCAATCTTGTCAACCACATTGGTGTCAAAAGGGACAGAACATTCAATAATATAAATGATTCATTGGATATATCAAAAAGGACAAGATCAGGTTTGTTTGGCTGGATACGTCTGAGGCTGCATACGGGCCTATTCCAAAGAATTTTGAATTTATCTTTTTCCATGACGCCCTCTACATAGTCCGGGTCGTACCATGGACGAACCTCTGTGTCAAAACCTCAAGCATGGCGAAGACGGTTAATAAAATGATCGCGCCACTCCATCATGTCGCTTAAGATACTATGTTTGTGCCAAAGCCAGGCATCGGCTGACAATGTGTTGGACAGTCTCATTAAATGCATTACATAACCTACAATTCATGTTTACATTTTGATGCAAAATCACACATTGACGGTTTCGAGTGGGACGTGACTGGTCCTGAGCAGCAAACAGAAAGCCTTCTGTTTCACTTTTCAGGCCAGCCGACCTCATCCAAGCGAAGGGCTCTGCATGGTTGGTGACCCTCTCAACACTCGCACATAAACTCGATGCAGCGGTCGTTCAAATAGTCTCTCCTTGAAAAACTGAGCCTGGGCCGATTTGATATGGCATTTTGCTTGGTTGACACTCATTTCTGTACCGTCCAGCAGTACATAACCATCAACCAAATCAACACTGACATTGAGATTATGTCCTACATCCTTGGCTCGTTTAAGAAAACTGTGGAATGCCTTGTTTTCATCATGAGCCTTGACATGCTTCACAAGGGTGAGATTAGAGGCGGCCTTCTCACAACAAATACAGATTTCAATCTAACCCATGTGTCCATAAATGATCAAAGCTGGCGGACCATTCAGAATGCAGGATCTAAAATATCATGGTAGAATTTACACTATTCATATAAAAACAATAATAACAGCACCGTCTGCACAAACATAGTTATTCTTGCAATTAATATTTATTCAGAAGCATTTATTTGGAATTACATTTACAGGAATCGAAACCTCGAAATTAGAAACATGCTTGGTTCGCCTCCCAATTCGATACCCCTGGTGGACCAATCAGAATGCGGGATTCTAAAATGTCAAAGCAGAATTAGGACAATAAGCATCCTATGTGTTCTATGTGGAGCTATGTTAACTGTAGAGTGAGTGAGTTTAATTTTACGTCGCTTTTAGCAATATTCACGGCGGGGGACACCAGAAATGGGCTCCACACATTGTACCCATGTCGGGAATCGAACCCGGGTCTTCGGCGTGACGAGCGAACGCTTTAACCACTAGGCTACCCGACCGTCCCTGTTAACTGTAGAATTAACCTTGCTAACTTGAATGTAGAACCGTAAGCGCGGTGTGAGGCTTAAAATGTTAAATTTAGTGCGGTTAAATCTTCAGGTAACCCAGCTCTACATTGAAAATCCAATATGCTTATCTCCTTTCTAACCATGACAAAACAACACGCCAACTCTTTGTGTAATCTGAGAAGCACAAGAACATATGCCGAGATTGCTCTGTATTGTAATTTCACAAAGAAGGAACTGTTGGTAAATTTGATTATTTGTTTTTGTCTATTTAACCATCGTTCATTCCTGCAACTATATTGTAGTAACTGTAACTTAGCATGTTGTTACTTTAATAGTAGAAGAAGAAGAAGAAGTCTTTATTTGTACCAAGGCCACTGGCCCATATACAATACATACATTTGAAATAGTGTGGTACATGAAAAAAGGTAATGTCAGGTACAAATTTACAGGTTTACAGGCTTTTCATAATTACGTCTTCTTTCATAGCTGTAATACAGGTATTTACATAGTTTTCCAAGTAATTGTTAACACGAAGATGACAGTAGCGTTTTAAATTTATGAATATTTGGATACGGCAAAATGATGTTGGTAAATACAGATGTCTAATATCGTTGGAATATTCACATTCTAAAGTAAAATGATATTCATTCTCTATACTTGTTTCACATATGGGGCAGAGTCGTAAACGTAAGTCAATATCAGCCCATCTACCTTCGTTTACCTTAAGTCTTAGTAGCCCGGCTCTAAGCCTTATCAAAACATTTCGATATTTTATTTCAGTAATAATGGAAATTATTAGTAATAATAGTACATTTAGTTATTTAAAAATTCTGAAAATTAAATTAAAATTAAAAGACTGAAAAAAATACTTCCCTCCGGATATTAGCTTGCGCGGTGATGAAGCCGTCAATAAACACAACGGAAATTTAATTGTTTAAGGCATGGGGTTTTGCGGGGGGGGGGGGGGGGGGGGGGTGTGCTCACATTATTCTCTTAACATGTCACTAGTTAAAATTATGGGACAACGTGTTGAGGTTTGTGTCTCACTAAATGCAAAGTGAGTATTTCCGAGTGTCGCATCACCCGCATCTCGCCAATCTGTGTGTCTGTGATTAGCCAGTGGGAGCGGACACAAACACAAATGTCGGTCGTCAATTAGTGTCACTGAAACACTGCAAGCATTTACTGCAGCAACTCCATATTACCGACATGGAAAAATATATACGAAAGCGCAGACTTTGATTTCATGGTGAATCCTATAAAATAATCACATTTTTTAAGCATAAAAGTCAACTCCAGTATGTGTATTTTATTAATTATGTCGGAATAATCGTAACTCCAACAGTGTGGCGTCCTCGACAAAAGGGGCGGTCGGGTAGCCTAGTGGTTAAAGCGTTCGCTCGTCACGCCGAAGACCCGGGTTCGATTCCCGATATTGGTACAATGTGTGGAGCCCATTTCTGGTGTCCCCCGCCGTGATATTGCTGGAATATTGCTAAAAGCGGCGTAAAACCACACACACACGCCTTTACAACAAACACAGAAATGCCCCTTCATATGTACGCCCTTATTTGGAGCTTTCCCATGTTTAACTGCACTGCTCCAGAGCTATGTGGTAGATACCCCAGCCACGGAAGTATTCTACTCAAAGAAAGTTAAAGAACGCCCGATCTGTCTCTGTGACGATAGTATAGTGCTCCTTAATGTCTTTCGAGCAGTATGTACTTTATCACTAGGTGGATGTATATCCACAAGAGTAAAACTCATGTTTGCCCTGAGACAACTTGGTGCGCAGCCATGTCAAGACAGGCTGTATCTCGGGAATCGTTCCTCCTTCATGGATCATTTATACGATTGTGTTAATATTTGTACAGACGTTTCCAGTATTAATCGGGCAGATGCTGGCTTTACGGAATGTAATACAATTTCTTACATACCTGTGCGTAATAAACTAATGTCCTGCATTTTTAAAATTTGGGAACATTTCACCCGCTGCTACGCAGTGTAATCAAATGTTGGGATTGTGTTTACTGCTGAGTAATTGTGTTTACTGCTTACAAAATCAGTAAACATGCTATCGTGTGACTGGAAGTTTGGTCCAGCACTTGATTTCAGGTTTGTTATCACGCCGGCTCTACGACATCGACTTCGTCTGTGGTCTTCTACGACATCGACTATGTCTGTGGTCTTCTACGGCATCGACTATCTCTGTGGTCTTCTATAACACTGACTGTGTATGTGGTCTTCTACGACATCGACTATATCTGTGGTCTTCTACGACATCGACTATATCTGTGGTCTTCTATAACACTGACTGTCTCTGTGGTCTTCTACGACATCGACTATCTCTGTGGTCTTCTACGACATCGACTATATCTGTGGTCTTCTACGACATCGACTACGTCTGTGGTCTTCTACGACATCGACTATATCTGTGGTCTTCTACGACATCGACTATATCTATGGTCTTCTATAACACTGACTGTCTCTGTGGTCTTCTACGACATCGACTATCTCTGTGGTCTTCTATAACACTGACTGTCTCTGTGGTCTTCTACGACATCGACTATATCTGTGGTCTTCTACGACATCGACTATATCTGTGGTCTTCTATAACACTGACTGTCTCTGTGGTCTTCTACGACATCGACTATATCTGTGGTCTTCTACGACATCGACTACGTCTGTGGTCTTCTACGACATCGACTATCTCTGTGGTCTTCTACGACATCGACTATATCTGTGGTCTTCTATAACACTGACTGTCTCTGTGGTCTTCTACGACATCGACTATCTCTGTGGTCTTCTACGACATCGACTATATCTGTGGTCTTCTACGACATCGACTACGTCTGTGGTCTTCTACGACATCGACTATCTCTGTGGTCTTCTACGACATCGACTATATCTGTGGTCTTCTATAACACTGACTGTCTCTGTGGTCTTCTACGACATCGACTATATATGTGGTCTTCTACGACATCGACTACGTCTGTGGTCTTCTACGACATCGACTATATCTGTGGTCTTCTACGACATCGACTATATCTGTGGTCTTCTATAACACTGACTGTCTCTGTGGTCTTCTACGACATCGACTATCTCTGTGGTCTTCTATAACACTGACTGTCTCTGTGGTCTTCTACGACATCGACTATCTCTGTGGTCTTCTACGACATCGACTATATCTGTGGTCTTCTATAACACTGACTGTCTCTGTGGTCTTCTACGACATCGACTATATCTGTGGTCTTCTACGACATCGACTACGTCTGTGGTCTTCTACGACATCGACTATCTCTGTAGTCTTCTACGACATCGACTATATCTGTGGTCTTCTACGACATCGACTATATCTGTGGTCTTCTACGACATCGACTATATCTGTGGTCTTCTACGACATCGACTATATCTGTGGTCTTCTACGACATCGACTATCTCTGTGGTCTTCTACGACATCGACTATATCTGTGGTCTACTACGACATCGACTATATCTGTGGTCTTCTATAACACTGACTGTGTATGTGGCCTCTATAACACTGACTGTGTCTGTGGTCCTCTATAACACTGACTGTGTCTGTGGTCCTCTATAACACTGACTGTGCCTGTGGTTCTCTATAACACTGACTGTCTCTGTGGTCCTCTATAACACTGACTGTGTCTGTGGTCCTCTATAACACTGACTATGTCTGTGGTCCTCTATAACACTGACTGTCTCTGTGGACCTCTATAACACTGACTGTCTCTGTGGTATAACACTGACTGTCTCTGTGGACCTCTATAACACTGACTGTCTCTGTGGTATAACACTGACTGTCTCTGTGGTCCTCTATAACACTGACTGTCTCTGTGGTCCTCTATAACACTGACTGTGTCTGTGGTATAACACTGACTGTGTCTGTGGTCCTCTATAACACTGACTGTGTCTCTGGTCCACTATAACACTGACTCCGTCTGTGGTATAACACTGACTGTCTCTGTGGTCCTCTATAACACTGACTGTCTCTGTGGTCCTCTATAACACTGACTGTGTCTGTGGTATAACACTGACTGTGCCTGTGGTACTCTATAACACTGACTGTCTCTGTGGTCCTCTATAACACTGACTGTGACTGTGGTATAACACTGACTGTCTCTGTGGTCCTCTATAACACTGACTGTCTCTGTGGTCCTCTATAACACTGACTGTCTCTGTTGTCCTCTATAACACTGACTGTCTCTGTGGTCCTCTATGACACTGACTGTCTCTGTGGTCCTCTATAACACTGACTGTCTCTGTGGTCCTCTATAACACTGACTGTCTCTGTGGTCCTCTATAACACTGACTGTCTCTGTGGTCCTCTATAACACTGACTGTCTCTGTGGTCCTCTATAACACTGACTGTGTCTGTGGTATAACACTGACTGTCTCTGTGGTCCTCTATAACACTGACTGTCTCTGTGGTCCTCTATAACACTGACTGTCTCTGTGGTCCTCTATAACACTGACTGTCTCTGTGGTCCTCTACGACACTAAGTCCCCTTGTCCTCTGTGTCCAGGTTATGAAGAGTTATTCACACTGGTCACGGACTTCGACGGCAAGATCTACAAGTACAGCATGAGGAACAAGAGTATTGAACGCATCCCCGTGTCGGACTCAGGACAAGGACCCGAGGCTATTGACTACGATCCTGTTACTTCTCAAATATTCTGGTCCAACATACGATCGGATAAAATAAAGCGAGCAGATCTGGACGGTCGGAACGAAAGGACGGTCAGATCAGAAACAGAAAGTAGGTTCTTTCAAAATGACAGAGAAATGTAACATTTGATTAGACTTGATAGTGTCATGTTGTTGGGACACTAGAATATCTCAATTAATCATCCACGCATGTATATAAATGTATATATTGTGGACTCGAACCGTGGTTTAACTTGATAATGTACTTCCGGTATTGAAAGAAGTATTGAAGAACTGAGAACGAGGGTTGATTGATAAGTTCTGAGCCTTGCATGCAAGTAATGGCGGCATGGTAAAGTCGTTTGCTGTTGACACGACATGATGTCAGAGAATCATTTGAGCAAATTGTTTCGCTGTGACCAATCAGTAACATAAACAGGGGTCTGTTGGAAAATGGAAAACTTGAGGAACGTGTAGTGAAAAGGTACGTGCAGAAAAAGGGATTAAGCTATCCATGAAGATATGAATACAACAATAGGGAAGGGTGAGCCATGCTATGCCCAAATAATGAGGTGGGCGACAATGTTTAAGCGTGGCAGAGAGAGCCATGAAAACGACCCCTGTGACGTCAGCAACACCAGAAAAAAATCCAGACGGACACGCAAGTGATTGGTTCAGATGGTATTTTCCAGGAGCGAGTACATAATCATATAATTTTGGTATCAATGTGAAAAGAAATAATTTTAATGTCTTTGAGTCGTGTCTTTCATGTGAGGCTCAGAACGTCTCGTGCTACCTCTCGTATCACGCGGCGTGTGTTTACTAGTGTACGGAATCGTAATGCTGTTTTTGATTTACATGTTGTCATTGGTAAAATAGTTTAGATTCACTCCATTTACATACTTTTTTATCTAAATATGCATTTTGTAATGAGGAACGTTATCTTACATGTTTCATTATTTTCCGAAACCACATCTAATAGCTTCATTATGCATAATCCTGCTATGATATCTGCTAAACACTTCAACTAGCCCTGAATACACCACACAGCATCATTGCCCATCTTTGATAAGTTATGATGATGTATTCCCCCCTCCGCAGCGCCCCGAGGGATTGCCATCGACTACATCAACCGTCTGATGTTTTACACTGAAGAAAAGATCGACATTGTTGGCATGCATAACCTCACCAGCTCGGCTCACAAAGTCCTTCTCCGGACAGGGATGGACCGCCCACTGGCTATAACTGTCGACATGGTAGACAGGTGAGATTAAGATCATTTAGTTTATTTTGACGTCTGTTTGTTCTAATAGGTGTATATTTAATAGGTGGTTTGTTCTAATAGGTGTATATTAATAGGTGGTTTCTTCTAACAGGTGTTGATTAATAGGTGGTTTGTTCTAATAGGTGGAGCTTAATAGGTGGTTTGATCTAACAGGTGTATATTAATAGGTGGTTTGTTCTAATAGGTGTAGATTAATAGGTGGTTTGTTCTAATAGGTGTATATTAATAGGTGGTTCGTTCTAAAAGGTGTAGATTAATAGGTGGTTTGTTCTAACAGGTGTAGATTAATAGGTGGTTTGTTCTAACAGGTGTATTTTAATAGGTGGTTTGTTCTAATAGGTGTATATTAATAGGTGGTTTGTTCTAATAGGTGTAGATTAATAGGTGGTTTGTTCTAATAGGTGTATATTAATAGGTGGTTCGTTCTAAAAGGTGTAGATTAATAGGTGGTTTGTTCTAACAGGTGTATACTAATAGGTGGTTTGTTCTAATAGGTGTATATTAATAGGTGGTTTGTTCTAACAGGTGTAGATTAATAGGTGGTTTGTTCTAATAGGGGTAGATTAATAGGTGGTTTGTTCTAACAGGTGTATATTAATAGGTGGTTTGTTCTAATAGGTGTATATAAATAGGTGTTTTCTTCTAACAGGTGTAGATTAATAGGTGGTTTGTTCTAACAGGTGTATATCAATAGGTGGTTTGTTCTAATAGGTGTAAATTAATATGTGGTTTGTTCTAATAGGTATATATCAATAGTTGGTTTGTGATAAGAAGAAGACAAAAAATAATAATTCAAAACATTCTATGCAGTCAAAATCATTTTGACCCCAAGAAATATTTGAAACTACACCCATCTCCATAAGAAACTTGAATAGGTTCGATGGGCGTTATCATAAAACTGAAGTGATGCAAAAGTATAAAATGAATGACATTTTTAATTATGCAAGTATTACATTTTATTTCACATGAGAACATTCACCAGCATGCAACTTACAATAATTGATCGAACGTTCTGGAAAATGCACTTTTTATTACCAGAGGATTTAAAAACGTTTCCACAGACTCGTATGACACATTGTCGTCTGGCCTCAAGTAATACCTCTTGGGTTTGTGGTTGGATTATAATTTTCACACAACTCCATACTCCGTGTAACTTGGGAAAACTGGATGAGGGGAGTCGGTCTTACTGATCCTGGATGAGGGGAGTCGGTCTTACTGATCCTGTATGAGGGGAAACGGTCTTACTGATCCTGTATGAGGGGAGTCGGTCTTACTGAAGCTGGGTGAGGGGAGTCGGTCTTACTGAAGCTGGATGAGGGGAGTCGGTCTTACTGAAGCTGAGTGAGGGGAGTCAGTCTTACTGAAGCTGGGTGAGGGGAGTCGGTCTTACTGAAGCTGGATGAGGGGAGTCGGTCTTACTGTAGCTGGGTTAGGGGAGTCGGTCTTACTGAAGCTAGATGAGTGGAGTCGGTCTTACTGAAGTTGGGTGAGGGGAGTCGGTCTTACTGATCCTGGATGAGGGGAGTCGGTCTTACTGAAGCTGGATGAGGGGAGTCGGTCTTAGTGATCCTTGGTGAGGGGAGTCCGTCTTACTGAAGCTGGATGAGGGGAGTCGGTCTTAGTGATCCTGGGTGAGGGGAGTCGGTCTTACTGATCCTGGATGAGGGGAGTCGGTCTTACTGAAGCTGGGTGAGGGGAGTCGGTCTTACTGATCCTTGGTGAGGGGAGTCCGTCTTACAGAAGCTGGGTTAGGGGAGTCGGTCTTACTGATCCTGGATGAGGGGAGTCGGTTTTACTGAAGCAGGGTGAGGGGAGTCGGTCTTACTGATCCTTGGTGAGGGGAGTCCGTCTTACTGAAGCTGGATGAGGGGAGTCGGTCTTAGTGATCCTGGATGAGGGGAGTCGGTCTTACTGAAGCTGGGTGAGGGGAGTCGGTCTTACTGAAGCTGGGTGAGGGGAGTCGGTCTTACTGATCCTTGGTGAGGGGAGTCCGTCTTACTGAAGCTGGGTGAGGGGAGTCGGTCTTACTGAAGCTAGATGAGTGGAGTCGGTCTTACTGAAGTTGGGTGAGGGGAGTCGGTCTTACTGAAGCTGGGTGAGGGGAGTCGGTCTTACTGATCCTTGGTGAGGGGAGTCCGTCTTACAGAAGCTGGGTTAAGGGAGTCGGTCTTACTGAAGCTAGATGAGTGGAGTCGGTCTTACTGAAGTTGGGTGAGGGGAGTCGGTCTTACTGAAGCTGGGTGAGGGGAGTCGGTCTTACTGATCCTTGGTGAGGGGAGTCCGTCTTACAGAAGCTGGGTTAAGGGAGTCGATCTTACTGAAGCTGGGTGAGGGGAGTCGGTCTTACTGATCCTTGGTGAGGGGAGTCCGTCTTACTGTAGCTGGGTTAAGGGAGTCGGTCTTACTGAAGCTGGGTGAGGGGAGTCGGTCTTACTGATCCTTGGTGAGGGGAGTCCGTCTTACTGTAGCTGGATGAGGGGAGTCGGTCTTAGTGATCTTGGGTGAGGGGAGTCCGTCTTACTGTTGTTGGGTGAGGGGAGTCGGTCTTACTGAAGCTGGATGAGGGGAGTCGGTCTTACTGAAGCTGGGTGAGGGGAGTCGGTCTTCCTGAAGCTGGGTGAGGAGAGTCCGTCTTACTGAAGCTGGTTGAGGGGAGTCGGTCTTACTGAAGCTGGTTGAGGGGAGTCGGTCTTACTGAAGCTGGGTGAGGGGAGTCGGTCTTACTGAAGCTGGTTGAGGGGAGTCGGTCTTAGTGATCTTGGATGAGGGGAGTCGGTATTACTGAAGCTGGGTGAGGGGAGTCGGTATTACTGAAGTTGGGTGAGGGGAGTCGGTATTACTGAAGCTGGATGAGGGGAGTCGGTATTACTGAAGCTGGATGAGGGGAGTCGGTATTACTGAAGCTGGATGAGGGGAGTCGGTCTTACTGAAGCTGGGTGAGGAGAGTCGGTATTACTGAAGTTGGGTGAGGGGAGTCGGCCTTACTGAAGCTGGTTGAGGGGAGTCGGTCTTACTGAAGCTGGATGAGGGGAGTCGGTCTTACTGAAGCTGGGTGAGGGGAGTCGGTCTTCCTGAAGCTGGGTGAGGAGAGTCGGTCTTACTGAAGCTGGTTGAGGGGAGTCGGTCTTACTGAAGCTGGTTGAGGGGAGTCGGTCTTACTGAAGCTGGGTGAGGGGAGTCGGTCTTACTGAAGCTGGTTGAGGGGAGTCGGTCTTAGTGATCTTGGATGAGGGGAGTCGGTATTACTGAAGCTGGGCGAGGGGAGTCGGTCTTACTGAAGCTGGTTGAGGGGAGTCGGTCTTACTGAAGCTGGTTGAGGAGAGTCGGTCTTACTGAAGCTGGTTGAGGGGAGTCGGTCTTACTGAAGCTGGATGAGGGGAGTCGGTCTTACTGAAGCTGGGTGAGGGGAGTCGGTCTTACTGAAGCTGGGTGAGGGGAGTCGGTATTACTGAAGTTGGGTGAGGGGAGTCGGTCTTACTGAAGCTGGTTGAGGGGAGTCGGTCTTACTGAAGCTGGGTGAGGGGAGTCGGTCTTACTGAAGTTGGGTGAGGGGAGTCGGTATTACTGAAGTTGGGTGAGGGGAGTCGGTCTTACTGAAGCTGGTTGAGGGGAGTCGGTCTTACTGAAGCTGGATGAGGGGAGTCGGTCTTACTGAAGCTGGGTGAGGGGAGTCGGTCTTAGTGATCTTGGATGAGGGGAGTCGGTATTACTGAAGCTGGGTGAGGGGAGTCGGTCTTACTGAAGCTGGTTGAGGGGAGTCGGTCTTACTGAAGCTGGATGAGGGGAGTCGGTCTTACTGAAGCTGGGTGAGGGGAGTCGGTCTTAGTGATCTTGGATGAGGGGAGTCGGTATTACTGAAGCTGGATGAGGGGAGTCGGTCTTACTGAAGCTGGGTGAGGGGAGTCGGTATTACTGAAGTTGGGTGAGGGGAGTCGGTCTTACTGAAGCTGGTTGAGGGGAGTCGGTCTTACTGAAGCTGGGTGAGGGGAGTCGGTCTTACTGAAGTTGGGTGAGGGGAGTCGGTCTTACTGAAGTTGGGTGAGGGGAGTCGGTCTTACTGAAGCTGGGTGAGGGGAGTCGGTCTTACTGAAGCTGGGTGAGGGGAGTCGGTATTACTGAAGTTGGGTGAGGGGAGTCGGTCTTACTGAAGCTGGTTGAGGGGAGTCGGTCTTACTGAAGCTGGGTGAGGGGAGTCGGTCTTACTGAAGTTGGGTGAGGGGAGTCGGTATTACTGAAGTTGGGTGAGGGGAGTCGGTCTTACTGAAGCTGGTTGAGGGGAGTCGGTCTTACTGAAGCTGGATGAGGGGAGTCGGTCTTACTGAAGCTGGGTGAGGGGAGTCGGTCTTAGTGATCTTGGATGAGGGGAGTCGGTATTACTGAAGCTGGGTGAGGGGAGTCGGTCTAACTGAAGCTGGTTGAGGGGAGTCGGTCTTACTGAAGCTGGGTGAGGGGAGTCGGTCTTAGTGATCTTGGATGAGGGGAGTCGGTATTACTGAAGCTGGGTGAGGGGAGTCGGTCTTACTGAAGCTGGTTGAGGGGAGTCGGTCTTACTGAAGCTGGTTGAGGGGAGTCGGTCTTAGTGATCTTGGATGAGGGGAGTCGGTATTACTGAAGCTGGGTGAGGGGAGTCGGTATTACTGAAGCTGGGTGAGGGGAGTCGGTCTTACTGAAGCTGGGTGAGGGGAGTCGGTCTTACTGAAGCTGGTTGAGGAGAGTCGGTCTTACTGAAGCTGGTTGAGGGGAGTCGGTCTTACTGAAGCTGGATGAGGGGAGTCGGTCTTACTGAAGCTGGGTGAGGGGAGTCGGTCTTACTGAAGCTGGGTGAGGGGAGTCGGTATTACTGAAGTTGGGTGAGGGGAGTCGGTCTTACTGAAGCTGGTTGAGGGGAGTCGGTCTTACTGAAGCTGGGTGAGGGGAGTCGGTCTTACTGAAGTTGGGTGAGGGGAGTCGGTATTACTGAAGTTGGGTGAGGGGAGTCGGTCTTACTGAAGCTGGTTGAGGGGAGTCGGTCTTACTGAAGCTGGATGAGGGGAGTCGGTCTTACTGAAGCTGGGTGAGGGGAGTCGGTCTTAGTGATCTTGGATGAGGGGAGTCGGTATTACTGAAGCTGGGTGAGGGGAGTCGGTCTTACTGAAGCTGGTTGAGGGGAGTCGGTCTTACTGAAGCTGGATGAGGGGAGTCGGTCTTACTGAAGCTGGGTGAGGGGAGTCGGTCTTAGTGATCTTGGATGAGGGGAGTCGGTATTACTGAAGCTGGATGAGGGGAGTCGGTCTTACTGAAGCTGGGTGAGGGGAGTCGGTATTACTGAAGTTGGGTGAGGGGAGTCGGTCTTACTGAAGCTGGTTGAGGGGAGTCGGTCTTACTGAAGCTGGGTGAGGGGAGTCGGTCTTACTGAAGTTGGGTGAGGGGAGTCGGTCTTACTGAAGTTGGGTGAGGGGAGTCGGTCTTACTGAAGCTGGGTGAGGGGAGTCGGTCTTACTGAAGCTGGGTGAGGGGAGTCGGTATTACTGAAGTTGGGTGAGGGGAGTCGGTCTTACTGAAGCTGGTTGAGGGGAGTCGGTCTTACTGAAGCTGGGTGAGGGGAGTCGGTCTTACTGAAGTTGGGTGAGGGGAGTCGGTATTACTGAAGTTGGGTGAGGGGAGTCGGTCTTACTGAAGCTGGTTGAGGGGAGTCGGTCTTACTGAAGCTGGATGAGGGGAGTCGGTCTTACTGAAGCTGGGTGAGGGGAGTCGGTCTTAGTGATCTTGGATGAGGGGAGTCGGTATTACTGAAGCTGGGTGAGGGGAGTCGGTCTAACTGAAGCTGGTTGAGGGGAGTCGGTCTTACTGAAGCTGGGTGAGGGGAGTCGGTCTTAGTGATCTTGGATGAGGGGAGTCGGTATTACTGAAGCTGGGTGAGGGGAGTCGGTCTTACTGAAGCTGGTTGAGGGGAGTCGGTCTTACTGAAGCTGGTTGAGGGGAGTCGGTCTTAGTGATCTTGGATGAGGGGAGTCGGTATTACTGAAGCTGGGTGAGGGGAGTCGGTATTACTGAAGCTGGGTGAGGGGAGTCGGTCTTACTGAAGCTGGGTGAGGGGAGTCGGTCTTACTGAAGCTGGGTGAGGGGAGTCGGTCTTACTGAAGTTGGGTGAGGGGAGTCGGTCTTACTGAAGCTGGGTGAGGGGAGTCGGTCTTACTGAAGCTGGGTGAGGGGAGTCGGTCTTACTGAAGCTGGATAAAGGGAGACGGTCTTACTGAAGCTGGATGCGGGGAGTCTATCTTACTGAAGCTGGTTTGAATGTGCTACAATTTACCATGGTGACCATCATTCCACAATTAACCGGCTTCAGGAACGTCGTCCGTTGACCCTCTCCAACATGCAGTGATAAACACTTATTATTCACTTATCTTGCTGTAACCTCTGCCAGTTTTGAACTGCGTTTCTCATGAAAACTGCCATGTCTTCTACCTTTTACCTTTACCACTTTTACCACGCGTCTCTTTTTGGAGTGCAGTGCATGCATGTAGAAAATAGACAGAAAAATTCCGCTTTGTCTACGGTTCTTGTGGAAGCTAACCCACTGATGATGCATATGACAAGTGCAGTATTGTCGTTGACAGAGTGTTCTATTGGAGTGACATCGGCACGCCAGCGAAGATAGAGATGGCGAATTATGACGGAACTGGCCGAAAAGTTTTGAAGTCCGACAACATGAAGTGGCCTATAGCACTTTCGCTTGATGAGTCACGTAAGGCTGCACTTAATGTTTACTCTCATTAAACTGTCTGGATTACTATTGTTGTTTCATGTTAAGGCTCGCGATGTGACTCCGGTGAGGGTATCTATGAGAGGGTCCTTGTGAGGGTCGAGATGAGGGTCTAGAGGATCTAGATGAGGGTCCATGAGGGTCTAGATGATCTAGATGAGGGTCCATGTGACGGTCTAGATGAGGGTCTAGACGAGTATCTATAAGAGGGTCAATGTGAGGGTCTAAATGAGGGTCAAGAGGATCTAGATGAGGGTCCATGTGACGGTCTAGATAAGGGTCTAGACGAGTATCTATAAGAGAGTCCATGTGAGGGTCTAGATGAGGGTCTAGAGGATCTAGATGAGGGTCTATATGAGGATCCATGTGACGGTCTAGATGAGGGTCTAGACGAGTATCTATAAGAGGGTCAATGTGAGGGTCTATATGTGGGTCTAGAGGATCTAGATGAGGGTCCATGTCCATGTCTTGATGAGGGGCCAGGTGAATGTCTAGATGAGGTCCAGGTGAGGGTCCGGGTGAGGGTCTAGACGAGGGTCAAGGTGAGTGTCTAGATGAGGGTCCAGATGAGGGTCCATGTAAGTGTCTAGATTAGGGTCCAGGTGAGGGTCTAGACGAGGATCTAGATGAGGGTCCATGTGAGTGTCTAGATGAGGGTCCATGTGAGTGTCTAGATGAGGGTCCATGTGAGTGTCTAGAGAGGGTTCATGTGAGGGTCTAGAAGATGGTTCATGTGGGGGTCTAGAAGAGGGTTCATGTGAGGGTCTTGTCGGGGTTCTGGATGGCGGTTCAAGTGAGGATCTAGAAGAGGGTTCATGTGTTCAGATGCTGATTCACTTGGACGATGAAGTATCTACAGTAAAAGATCGCGAACTAGTCTCATGAACCTATTTTTGTAGCCAATAACGTTTCTAGAATTGCTCTATTTATTTGCACGCTGTCAATAATGTACCTAGATATATTAATATAACTAATAAAGTTATTTAATTGAGGACAATTGATCACTAGCAGCAGTTGTCTTGACCCAAACTCCTAATCTTATATGGGAAGGGAGGTATTCCAGCCTTATACCTCATAAATGGTTTAAATGACATCGTATTACGTTTGTATAGATCCTACCTCTTTCAATTTAGTGTGAAATGGAACACGTTAGGCACAACCATGACAATATATACATCTCTGTGCTTGGGTCATGAAATTCGACTTCATTTTCAGGTACTAAGCTGTTCTGGTGCGATGGAAGCAAAAAGAAGATTCAGTATTTAGATTTAAGTTCTATGAGGACAACTGTCGTGCTGAGTAACTACAACACACACTACTACGACGTCCAATACGTCGACGGAAATCTATACTTCGTGGATCTCCTTAAGAGGTACTTCTGTCAGTTCCTGTAGGGAATGAGTTAATGTGTTGGGGCTATTTGAGTTAGTGAGTGAGGTTTTGCGCCGCTTTTAGCAATATTCCAGCAATATCACGGCGGGAGACACCAGAAATGGGTTTCACACACTCTACCCATGTCGGGAATCGAACCAGGGTCTTCGGCGTGACAAGCGAACGCTTTAACCACTCGGCTCACCGAGGCTATTTGAACAGTGTATAAGTTATATCAAATACAGTAAAAGTTTATAACGAACACGCTTATAACGAACTGAAGGATATAACGAAATGTTTTTGTCCCCGTCCATTTGTTGTAATTATGCTGTATATGTGCCTATATCGAACTACGGTTATTACGAATTAAATTTAGCTGTCCCTTTAAGTTCGTTATAACCGTAGTTTACTGTATAGGACAAATGTTGGATGCCTAGCTCGAGACAGGTAGAGTGCCTACATAGACCCTGTTCACATTGTTGAAAGTTTAGAATTTCGTTCGGAATTTTATCTTTACTTTTCGTATTTAGCCCTCTGCGTCTACGTTGCGGGTTATACGCAGATGAAACAAGAGGTGAACAGTCTTGTGACGTATTTTTGTAAATCTCCTTCAGAAACGTGTTTCAGTCAGTGCCGGCAACGGGTGGGACCGTGACGACATACGCCTTTGGGAAAACCATGTCGAAGTGGCGCAAGATTAGGCTGATCAAACTCAGAGGTGAACTGGCGTCACGTAGTATATCACATTCATCGGTCAACAATCAAAGCTACACCCCTAACCACTATTCACAGTAAACCCCTCGTTCTTCACCCCTCAGGCCTCAAAACTAACCTCTTACCCCAAATCACTCACCCTCAACCCCCAACACTAACCTCTAACCCCAAATCACTCATCCTCAACCCCCAACCCTAACAACTTACCCGACATCACTCACCCTCAACCCCCAACGCTAACCTCTGACCCCAAATCACTCACCCTCAATCCCCAACACTAAACTCTAACCCCAAATCACTCACCCTCAACCCCAAACGCTAACCCCTAATCCCAAGTCACTTACCCTCTACCCCCAACGCTAACAACTTACCCAACATCACTCATCCTCAACTCCCAAGGCTAAGCTCTGACCCCAAATCACTCACCCTCAACCCCCAACACCAACATCTGACCCCAAATCACTCATCCTCAACCCCCAACGCTAACCCCTAACACCAAGTCACTCACCCTCAACCCCCAACGCTAACCTCTAACCCCAAATCACTCATCCTCAACCCCCAAAACTAACCTCTAACCCAAAATCACTCACTCTCAACCCCTAATACTAACCTCTAACCCCAAATCACTCACCCTCAACACACACCTCCCCCCCCCCCCCCCCCCCCCAACGCTACCCCTCACCCCACATCACTCATCCTCAACCCCAAACACTAACCTCTAACCCCACATCATTCATCCCAAACCCCCAACACTAACCTCTAACCCAAAATCACTCACCCTCAACCCCCCAACGCTAACCTCTAGCCCCACATCACTCCTCCTCAACCCCCAACACTAACCTCTAACCCCAAATCACTCACCCTCAACCCCCAACACCATCATCTAACCCCAAATCACTAACCCTAAACACCCCACCCACCCACCCCCCCCCCACACCCCACCCCCACCGCTACCCCTCACCCCACATCACTCATCCTCAACCCCAAACACTAACCTCTAACCCCACATCATTCATCCCAAACCCCCAACACTAACCTCTAACCCAAAATCACTAACCCTCAACCCCCCAACGCTAACCTCTAGCCCCACATCACTCCTCCTCAACCCCCAACACTAACCTCTAACCCCAAATCACTCACCCTCAACCCCAAACACCATCATCTAACCCCAAATCACTAACCCTAAACACCCCCTCCCCCCCCCCCCCCCACCCCACCCCCACCGCTACCCCTCACACACATCACTCATCCTCAACTCCCAACGCTAACCTCTGACCCCAAATCACTCACCCTCAATCCCCAACACTAACCCCTTACCCCATATTACTCACCCTCAACCCCCAACACTAACATCTGACCCCAAATCACTCACCCTCAACCCCGAACGCTAACCCCTAACACCAAGTCACTCACCCTCAACCCCCAACGCTAACCTCTTACCCCAAATCACTCATCCTCAACCCCTTAAACTAACCTCTCACCCCAAATCACTCACTCTCAACCCCTAATACTAACCTCTAACCCCAAATCACTCACCCTCAACCCCCAACGCTAACCCCTAACACCAAGTCACTCATCCTCAACCCCCAACACTAACCTCTAACCCCACATCACTCATCCCAAACCCCCAACACTAATAACCTCTAACCCCAAATCACTCACTTTCAAACCCCCCCCCCCCCCCCCCCCCAACGCTAACCTCTAACCCCACATCACTCCTCCTCAACCCCCAACACTAACCTCTAACCCAAAATCACTCACCCTCAACCCCCAACACCATCATCTAACCCCAAATCACTCACCCTCAACACACATCCCCCCCCCCCCCCCACCACAACCACCACCACCGCTACCCCTCTCCCCACATCACTCATCCTCAACACCCAACACTAACCTCTAACCCCACATCACTCATCCTAAACCCCAAACACTAACCTCTAACCCCAAATCACTCACCCTCAACCCCCCAAACGCTAACCTCTGACCCCACATCACTCACCCTCAACCCCCAACACTAACCACTAACCCCACATCACTCACCCTCAACCCCCAACGCTAACCTCTGACCCCACATCACTCCTCCTCAACCCCCAACACTTACCTCTAACCCCAAATCATTTACCCTCAACCCCCAACACTAACCTCTAACCCCAAATCACTCACCCTCAACCCCCAACACTAACCTCTAACCCCTAATCACTCACCCTCAACCCCCAACACTAACGTCTAACCCCAAATCACTCATCCTCAACCCCATGACCAACCTCTAACCCCAAATCACTCACCCCAACCCCCAACACTAACGTCTAACCCCAAATCACTCACCCTCAAACCCCCCCCCCCCCCCCACCAACGCTACCCCTCACCCCACATCACTCATCCTCAACCCCCAACACTAACCTCTAACCCCACATCACTCATCCCAACCCCTAACACCAACCTCCAACCCAAAATCACTCACCCTCAACCCCCCAACGCGTACCTCTAACCCCACATCACTCCTCCTCAACCCCCAACACTTACCTCTAACCCCAAATCACTCACCCTCAACCCCCAAAACTAACCACAAACCCCAAATCACTCATCTTCAACCCCCAACACTAACCTTTAACCCCTAACCCAACTCCCCTCTCACCCCAAACATCATACTACATACACCACTTCGAGACCCTTCAACCTTCACCTTTAACCTCCAAACCCTCAAGCTGACCATTGGTGCGTTCTTTCTAATGGTAATACTTTTTGTTTAGTTTATGAAACTGCATTTATTCAACGGATTCACTTACGGTTTCTACGAAATGTCACGGCTAAAGCAAGTTGGTGCATATTCTTTTTGCATACATTTCACAATTGTTACCAGGATGTTTGGTTGTTGCCAAGCAAGCTTAAATAAACTGATCTCAAAACATTACATATACATCTTATTGAAAGAAATCTCTCCGGTTCGCATGGAGGTTAAATTACCTTCCATGTGTCAGTCCTACAGAGAAAACACCACAGAAGTCAACCTTGTTCAAGAACAACGGATGACGTCATATCGTTTTAAAAAATGATGCAACGTGACATCGGATCGGTGCAACTGAACACCAGCATTGATCATCTCTAATAGGCGTATATCCGAATGTTAATACAATCGTTCTATTCCACTGATGTTTTTTACGGTTGTTATCGGGTATATAACTCACACACTGAGTGTTCAAATCGGCGTCATGCTTACCTTCATGACGGGGGCGGTCGGGTAGCCTAGTGGTTAAAGCGTTTGCCGTCACGCCGAAAACCCGGATTCGATTCCCGACATGGGTACAATGTGTTAAGCCCATTTCTGGTGTCCCCCGCCGTGATATTGCTGGAATATAGCTAAAAGTGGCGTAAAACCATACTCACTCACTCAACTAACTCGTCATTGTTACTATTACGACAGTGTGTCAGGACATGGCGTGGGGTCCCAACTGCACCAACAACTGTGGAAACTGCCAAAATGATGCAGTGTGCAACAAGGTGAATGGACACTGCCCAGGGAGCTGCAAGCCAGGGTACTCCAGGCCTACGTGCGAGAATGGTATGTTCTTTATTGTTAATGTGAGGTGAGGTAAAGTGGTTGTTTAACGTCGCGTTCAGGATTATTGCAAATATATAGTGACGTTCGTGCATGCAGTTTCTGTACTGCCAGAACCAGTTACAGCCGGGACTTAGGTTGGTTTCATAGTCCTTGTTTTAGTCCCTTAATGCGGAATGTCAGGCAGGGTAACAACAAGTACCATCTTTTAACGTCTTTTGGTATTCCGCTCTCCGGGCAGACCACTAGACAACGGAGGCGGTCTATCGTCAATGTCATTAACTGGATATACATGTATATACTACTAAACAGGCTACATGGCAATTAGGAACAAAGCACTGCCACACATGTTGAGATCACAACGGAAAGAGGCGGTGCATAACAAATGACACACGAATAAAGGTCAAGGTCAAAGAATGTCAATAACCGTTCTGACCACCATGATTGTCTGGCATCGTCTTCCAATAAACTGAATCAGATTCCGGATTACAGGTCTTGAAATGTTCTGATGCTCATCCAATAAAGCCAAATACAAAGCCGGGGACGGCGTCGTCGCACACGTCGATCCACTGAAAACGACGGCTCTCAATCGCTGTTATGACCAGTTGGGATGGTTTAAACACAACTGTCTGAATCCCTGGCGATGATGTCGTGTAAGGATTGGGCCACGCTCTGATCTCCTTGGACGTATGCCAGCGTCACGCACACGCTCCCTGGCGGTTTGATCCGAGATTATCCGGAGTCCAAGAAGTGCAGTGTACCGAAGCAAACCTGTTCCGTAAATATCGTAGATGAACCTGTCCTTCGCGGGTGTGGTGACACGTGGTATTCTATGACGATGTCGATCACGTGATGTTCCATGTTCCATGATGCCTCCGTATTATGATCTAGGACACTTTTAAGCGCCGAGCAACCGCTGATTCGACTTGCTAGCCTCTAAATGCACAATTGTATTTTTTCGCTGCGCCTCTGTAAGTCTCGGCATAACTTCAAATGAGAATTCACTTCTTTTAACTGTGACTAAAGCGGGCAGACCAATGGCATTTGTGGTGAAAATGCAAGTGCAAAGTGCACCTGATGCAAGTGCAAAACACCTGCATGATGTTCTGTCCCCATATGTACAGACACCCAGAGTACAGATGTGTACCCGTGCACCCCGAGTGATGAAGCATGTAACCACTTCCTATCCTATTACTTACCTACTAACTCCATCACATTCAACTGTCTTCTTGCAGAATGCCCTAAGGGCTTCTATGGAGTTGGCTGTTTGTCCGTCTGTGGACACTGTCACGACCTTGACACCTGTAACCACCTGACGGGCACATGCTTGTATGGATGTGCTGCCGGATGGGACGGGAGGAACTGTTCACGAGGTAGGTGTACACTGTACACGAGGTAGATATACACTGTACACGAGGTAAGTATACACTGTACACGGGGTAGGCATACACTGTACACGAGGTAGACATACACTGTACACGAGGTAGGTATACACTGTACACGAGGTAGGTACACTGTACACGAGGTAGATATACACTGTACACGAGGTAGGTATACACTGTACACGAGGTAGATATATACTGTACACGAGGTAGATATATACTGTACAGGAGGTAGATATACACTGTACACGAGGTAGGTATTCACTGTACACGAGGTAGGTGTACACTGTACACGAGGTAGGTGTACACTGTACACGAGGTAGGTGTACACTACTTGAGGTATGTATACACTGTACACGAGGTAGGTATACACTGTACACGAGGTAGGTGTACACTGTACACGAGGTAGGTGTACACTGTACACGAGGTAGATATACACTGTACATGAGGTAGGTATACACTGTACACGAGGTAGATATATACTGTACACGAGGTAGGTATACACTGTACACGAGGCAGGTATACACTGTACACGAGGTAGGTATACACTGTACACGAGGTAGGTATACACTGTACACGAGGTAGGTATACACTGTACACGAGGTAGATATACACTGTACACGAGGTAGGTATACACCGTACACGAGGTAGATATACACTGTACACGAGGTAGATATACACTGTACACGAGGTAGATATACACTGTAAACGAGGTAGGTATACACTGTACACGAGGTAGATATATACTGTACACGAGGTAGGTATACACTGTACACGAGGTAGGTATACACTGTACACGAGGTAGGTATATACTGTACACGAGGTAGGTATACACTGTACACGAGGTAGGTATACACTGTACACGAGGTAGATATACACTGTACACGAGGTAGATATACACTGTACACGAGGTAGATATACACTGTACACGAGGTAGGTATACACTGTACACGAGGTAGATATACACTGTACACGAGGTAGATATACACTGTACACGAGGTAGATATACACTGTACACGAGGTAGGTATTCACTGTACACGAGGTAGGTATACACTGTACACGAGGTAGGTGTACACTGTACACGAGGTAGGTGTACACTACTTGAGGTATGTATACACTGTACACGAGGTAGGTATACACTGTACACGAGGTAGGTGTACACTGTACACGAGGTAGGTGTACACTGTACACGAGGTAGATATACACTGTACACGAGGTAGGTATACACTGTACACGAGGTAGATATATACTGTACACGAGGTAGGTATACACTGTACACGAGGTAGATATACACTGTACACGAGGTAGGTATACACTATACACGAGGTAGATATACACTGTACACGAGGTAGATATACACTGTACACGAGGTAGATATACACTGTACACGAGGTAGGTATTCACTGTACACGAGGTAGGTATACACTGTACACGAGGTAGGTGTACACTGTACACGAGGTAGGTGTACACTACTTGAGGTATGTATACACTGTACACGAGGTAGGTATACACTGTACACGAGGTAGGTGTACACTGTACACGAGGTAGGTATACACTGTACACGAGGGAGGTATACACTGTAATCGAAGTACATTTATATTCACGAGGTAGACATACACATATGCACAGAGAACTAGCTTTTTGAACAATAAAACAAGACGTTCAGATTGTTTGTGTCTACTTGTATATGAGCTCCTGATTAGAGGTTCCTGTCTCCTACATACAACAGTATCTCGCTTTATGGTTTGAAACACAGGGTGCCCTGAGGGTAAACATGGCCGGAAGTGCGCCACCTCTTGTGGCCATTGTAAAGATGGGTCTCCCTGTATGAGGACCAGCGGAAACTGCACAGACGGATGTGAGCCAGGGTGGGGCGGAGCCCAGTGCAAGGAAGGTGCGAATCATAACTTCCCACATTCTGAATGTCAGATCTGAAATTTAACCTTTTAACATATACATGCGGAATTGTTTGTTGGTTTGCTGTTTAACGCCGCACTCTGCAATATTTCAACTATCTGACGGCGCTCTATAAATAATTGAGTCTAGACCGTAAAATCAAGTGATTGATATATATATATCCTCTAACTTGGAAGATGCATGTTGTCGTATCCAAAACTGCGTGGATCGATGCTCATGATATCAATCGCTGGATTGACTGGTCCAACTTCGATATTTATAGACCGAGGTCATATGGCTGAGTGCGGTGTTAAGCAACAAACAAACAAAATTGGAAAAAATATGTTAAATTTGGATAAAAAAGCATCAAAGCTTTAACTACTTACTTTAGTATATTTATTTCTTAATCTTTCAGGATATCAAATGTCACTTAAGGTTTCTTTTAATGAAATATTGAGAGAGTAAATTAAGATGTATTTTGCATCTTATCAGAATGCTTAAACGGGACCTTTGGTGAGGCTTGCCAGTACAAGTGCCAGTGTTGCGATGGGTCAGTCTGTGACAAGGTGACAGGCCGGTGCCCGTATGAGAACGTCACTATCAGAGGTATGTAGCTTGACAAACACGCTTTACACACCTTCGCCGTGCAGCCAGGGCGCCAGTGTGAATACATGTTCCATGTACGAATAGCATCTCGTCTGTAGTCAATGCAAAAGTGACAATGTAGATACAAGAAAAAAAAACTATAAGGTCTCAACGTAAAAACAAGAAAAAACTATATTGTGGCAATGTGGATACAAGAAAAAACTATTAGGTCTCAATGTAAATACAAGAAAAAACTATATTGTGGCAATGTAGATACAAGACAGAAACTGAATGTGGCAATGTAGATACAAGACAGAAACAGTATGTGGCAATGTAGATACAAGACAGAAACTGTATGTGGCAGTGTAAATACAAGAAAAAACTATATTGTGGCAATGTAGATACAAGACAGAAACTGTATGTGGCAATGTAGATACAAGACAGAAACTGTATGTGGCAATGTAGATACAAGACAGAAACTGTATGTGGCAATGTAGATACAAGACAGAAACGGTATGTGGCAGTGTAGATACAAGACAGAAACTGTATGTGGCAGTGTAGATACAAGACAGAAACTGTATGTGGCAATGTAGATACAAGACAGAAACTGTATGTGGCAATGTAGATACAAGACAGAAACTGTATGTGGCAATGTAGATACAAGACAGAAACTGTATGCGGCAATGTACATACAAGACAGAAACTGTATGTGGCAATGTAGATACAAGACAGAAACTGTATGTGGCAGTGTAGATACAAGACAGAAACTGTATGTGGCAATGTAGATACAAGACAGAAACTGTATGTGGCAGTGTAGATACAAGACAGAAACTGTATGTGGCAGTGTAGATACAAGACAGAAACTGTATGTGGCAATGTAGATACAAGACAGAAACTGTATGTGGTAGTGTAAATACAAGACAGAAACTGTATGTGGCAGTGTAGATACAAGACAGAAACTGTATGTGGCAATGTAGATACAAGACAGAAACTGTATGTGGCAATGAAGATACAAGACAGAAACTGTATGTGGCAATGTAGATACAAGACAGAAACTGTATGTGGCAATGTAGATACAAGACAAAAACTGTATGTGGCAGTTTATATACAAGACAGAAACTGTATGTTGCAATGTAGATACAAGACAGAAACTGTATGTGGCAATGTAGATACAAGTCAGAAACAGTATGTGGCAATGTAGATACATGACAGAAACTGTATGTGGCAATGTAGAAACAAGACAGAAACTGTATGTGGCAATGTAGATACAAGACAGAAACTGTATGTGGCAGTGTAGATACAAGACAGAAACTGTATGTGGCAATGTAGATACAAGACAGAAACTGTATGTGGCAGTGTAGATACAAAACAGAAACTGTATGTGGCAATGTAGATACAAGACAGAAACTGTATGTGGCAGTGTAGATACAAGACAGAAACTGTATGTGGCAGTGTACATCCAAGACAGAAACTGTATGTGGCAGTGTAGATACAAGACAGAAACTGTATGTGGCAATGTAGATACAAGACAGAAACTGTATGTGGCAGTGTAGATACAAGACAGAAACTGTATGTGGCAATGTAGATACAAGACAGAAACTGTATGTGGCAATGTACATCCAAGACAGAAACTGTATGTGGCAGTGTAGATACAAGACAGAAACTGTATGTGGCAATGTAGATACAAGACAGAAACTGTATGTGGCAATGTAGATACAAGACAGAAACTGTATGCGGCAATGTAGATACAATGACGAAACTGGTCCTTGATTGTCGTTCAGATAGCCTTTCCTTGTAAAAATGAGTCTGGGCTGATTAATGTGGCACTTCGCTTGGTTGACACTCAGTTCTGTAAACGTCCAGCAGCACAAAAGTGCACAACATAATTCTATCATGAAGAGCCTCCACGCTCATCAAACCACGCCTCCCACTATAACTGGTAAATGTATGCGATTGAGGGAAGAGCGAAGGTAGTAGTAGTAGCAGTAGTAGTAGTAGTAGTAGTAGTAGTAGTAGTAGTAGTAGTAGTAGTAGTTATGAAGTGGTGTGCGAAGCCAGTACAGTTGAGTACGGTGTGACAATGTCGCTCCAAGCGATCAGGGCACAAGCTACACTGAATGTCAACCAGCACCTAGAGGCCACAAATCAACTGATAAAACACACAAACCCATCCCATTCTTAATCACCTTTCAAAACAATAGACATCGATCAGAGTTCCTTGGTACCACGTGATCATATCGCTACGACTGTGATGGGTCTACGTATCCATTCACTGGTCGAAGGGATTATGAGAGGGGTGGATAAGAACAATTTTAAAAGTTGGCTCAGTTTCAATTTACAACGAATTGTAAACATTGTAAAATGTGAAACTATTTCTGAATTGTCTTGAAAGTATGTCCGGTCGACCGGTACGGGTTCAACTGCAGCACCTCCTGCGGACAGTGTATGGATGGCCAGCCGTGCAATGAGACTACGGGCAGGTGCCCCACAGGGTGTGATGCAGGGTGGATGGGCGACATTTGTAAAACGGGTAGGTGTGTTAACGACAAACAGTGTGTAGTTTTGTCAGTCTGTTGTTATACTTAAGTATGTAATGTTAATAAGAACCTGATCTTCCGCTAGAACGGACTATTTATAAAAGGAATTAATGTTTCTAGGAAGGTTACATATGATAAACTTGTTGGGGGGGGGGGGGGGGGGGGTATTATGGGAATTTGTCAGAATAAATGAGCAAAATCTGTGCAAATAATTCTTCGTTAAAAAATATTGATGGAACTTGACACGAAAGCTATAATGCCTGAACAGTGAGAAGGATTTAAAGAGCGCTTCAAAGGATTTCGGCAACAACACAACCGAAACTGTCACCCGAATGGACATTAATGATCGTTAAGGGGACTTCTGTAAGTCTGTCACTGTTAATTTCATCAATTATATAAGGTACGAGTAGATACTGCATGCTTAATGATGGGTTCTGTATTTCAGAATGTATCGAAGGCAGGTACGGTGCTAACTGTGTCAAGATGTGCCGGTGTTTCGGCAGCAACGTGTGCGACCCCATCAGCGGTCGATGCTACTCCGGGTTGACCGGGGCTGCAAAACAAGTTGGCAACGTCCGCCTCATCGGTATGTAGCAATCTCATCACCTACTACTGGTTATAATCGCGACGTAAACTCATTCAATTGTAAATATTCCACTTTTGATAGGGATTTTTCTTCCCATAATATACAAAAATGATTCTCGTAATATATCAAGTGTATATTTAAATATATATGATTATCCCTCTCTAAAGTTGAACTGTTTAGTAAGGTGCAGACCGATTTTATCAGGAAAATATTGTAAATATCCGGAGAATTGCGTCCTACATCATTAATTCGAGATACAAAATTGTAGTTGGTATGTTGGTAATGCCAACTGTTCGGGAATTTGAGCAGGGAACATAAAATATTTACCTTACTTCTTAGCGGGGTACAATAAAAATAATAGAATGGATCTCCACCAGTCAGAATGCTGCGTTCATGTGTAAGTTAAGATAAGAAAAGTTCCTCAATTAAACATGTTGAGTCGAATCCATGTTCGTTTCAGACACACCCGTGACCACCGGCCTCTGTGTTCTGATCGTCATCCTGGCGGTACTCCTGGCTATAGCCATCTTTGTCATATACAGACGACACAGGTACTCCTGGCTGTAGCCAACTTTGTCATATACAGACGACACAGGTACTCCTGGCTATAGCCATCTTTGTCATATACAGACGACACAGGTACTCCTGGCTGTAGCCATCTTTGTCATATACAGACGACACAGGTACTCCTGGCTATAGCCATCTTTGTCATATACAGATGACAAAGGTACTCCTGGCTATTGCCATCTTTGTCATATACAGACGACACAGGTACTCCTGGCTATTGCCATCTTTGTCATATACAGACGGCACAGGTACTCCTGGCTGTAGCCATCTTTGTCATATACAGACGGCACAGGTACTCCTAGCTGAAGCCATCTTTGTCATATACAGACGACACAGGTACTCCTGGCTATTGCCATCTTTGTCATATACAGACGGCACAGGTACTCCTGGCTATAGCCATCTTTGTCATATACAGACGGCACAGGTACTCCTGGCTGAAGCCATCTTTGTCATATACAGACGACACAGGTACTCCTTGCTATAGCCATCTTTGTCATATACAGACGACACAGGTACTCCTGGCTAAAGCCATCTTTGTCATATACAGACGACACAGGTACTCCTGGCTATAGCCATCTTTGTCATATACAGACGACACAGGTACTCCTTGCTATAGCCATCTTTGTCATATACAGACGACACAGGTACTCCTGGCTATTGCCATCTTTGTCATATACAGACGGCACAGGTACTCCTGGCTGTAGCCATCTTTGTCATATACAGACGACACAGGTACTCCTGGCTATAACCATCTTTGTCATATACAGACGACACAGGTACTCCTGGCTATAGCCATCTTTGTCATATACAGACGACACATGTACTCCCGGCTATTGCCATCTTTGTCATATACAGACGGCACAGGTACTCCTTGCTATTGCCATCTTTGTCATATACAGACGGCACAGGTACTCCTGGCTATTGCCATCTTTGTCATATACAGACGGCACAGGTACTCCTGGCTATAGCCATCTTGGTCATATACAGACGGCACAGGTACTCCTGGCTATAGCCATCTTTGTCATATACAGACGACAAAGGTACTCCTGGCTATTGCCATCTTTGTCATATACAGACGACACAGGTACTCCTGGCTATTGCCATCTTTGGCATATACAGACGGCACAGGTACTCCTGGCTGTAGCCATCTTTGTCATATACAGATGGCACAGGTACTCCTAGCTGAAGCCATCTTTGTCATATACAGACGACACAGGTACTCCTGGCTATTGCCATCTTTGTCATATACAGACGGCACAGGTACTCCTGGCTGTAGCCATCTTTGTCATATACAGACGGCACAGGTACTCCTGGCTGAAGCCATCTTTGTCATATACAGACGACACAGGTACTCCTTGCTATAGCCATCTTTGTCATATACAGACGACACAGGTACTCCTGGCTAAAGCCATCTTTGTCATATACAGACGACACAGGTACTCCTGGCTATTGCCATCTTTGTCATATACAGACGACACAGGTACTCCTGGCTATTGCCATCTTTGTCATATACAGACGACACAGGTACTCCTGGATATAGCCATCTTTGTCATATACAGACGACACAGGTACTCCTGGCTATTGCCATCTTTGTCATATACAGACGGCACAGGTACTCCTGGCTGTAGCCATCTTTGTCATATACAGACGACACAGGTACTCCTAGCTGAAGCCATCTTTGTCATATACAGACGACACAGGTACTCCTGGCTATTGCCATCTTTGTCATATACAGACGGCACAGGTACTCCTGGCTATAGCCATCTTTGTCATATACAGACGGCACAGGTACTCCTGGCTGAAGCCATCTTTGTCATATACAGACGACACAGGTACTCCTTGCTATAGCCATCTTTGTCATATACAGACGACACAGGTACTCCTGGCTAAAGCCATCTTTGTCATATACAGACGACACAGGTACTCCTGGCTATTGCCATCTTTGTCATATACAGACGACACAGGTACTCCTGGCTATAGCCATCTTTGTCATATACAGACGACACAGGTACTCCTTGCTATAGCCATCTTTGTCATATACAGACGACACAGGTACTCCTGGCTATTGCCATCTTTGTCATATACAGACGGCACAGGTACTCCTGGCTGTAGCCATCTTTGTCATATACAGACGACACAGGTACTCCTGGCTATAACCATCTTTGTCATATACAGACGACACAGGTACTCCTGGCTATAGCCATCTTTGTCATATACAGACGACACATGTACTCCCGGCTATTGCCATCTTTGTCATATACAGACGGCACAGGTACTCCTTGCTATTGCCATCTTTGTCATATACAGACGGCACAGGTACTCCTGGCTATTGCCATCTTGGTCATATACAGACGGCACAGGTACTCCTGGCTGTAGCCATCTTTGTCATATACAGACGGCACAGGTACTCCTGGCTATTGCCATCTTTGTCATATACAGACGGCACAGGTACTCCTGGCTATTGCCATCTTTGGCATATACAGACGGCACAGGTACTCCTGGCTGTAGCCATCTTTGTCATATACAGACGGCACAGGTACTCCTGGCTAAAGCCATCTTTGTCATATACAAATGACAAAGGTACTCCTGGCTATTGCCATCTTTGTCATATACAGACGACACAGGTACTCCTGGCTGTAGCCATCTTTGTCATATACAGACGGCACAGGTACTCCTAGCTGAAGCCATCTTTGTCATATACAGACGACACAGGTACTCCTGGCTATTGCCATCTTTGTCATATACAGACGGCACAGGTACTCCTGGCTATAGCCATCTTTGCCATATACAGACGGCACAGGTACTCCTGGCTGAAGCCATCTTTGTCATATACAGACGACACAGGTACTCCTTGCTATAGCCATCTTTGTCATATACAGACGACACAGGTACTCCTGGCTAAAGCCATCTTTGTCATATACAGACGACACAGGTACTCCTGGCTATTGCCATCTTTGTCATATACAGACGACACAGGTACTCCTGGCTATTGCCATCTTTGTCATATACAGACGACACAGGTACTCCTGGCTATAGCCATCTTTGTCATATACAGACGACACAGGTACTCCTGGCTATTGCCATCTTTGTCATATACAGACGGCACAGGTACTCCTGGCTGTAGCCATCTTTGTCATATACAGACGACACAGGTACTCCTGGCTATAACCATCTTTGTCATATACAGACGACACAGGTACTCCTGGATATAGCCATCTTTGTCATATACAGACGACACATGTACTCCCGGCTATTGCCATCTTTGTCATATACAGACGGCACAGGTACTCCTTGCTATTGCCATCTTTGTCATATACAGACGGCACAGGTACTCCTGGCTATTGCCATCTTTGTCATATACAGACGGCACAGGTACTCCTGGCTATAACCATCTTTGTCATATACAGACGACAAAGGTACTCCTTGCTATTGCCATCTTTGTCATATACAGACGGCACAGGTACTCCTGGCTATTGCCATCTTTGTCATATACAGACGGCACAGGTACTCCTGGCTATAGCCATCTTTGTCATATACAGACGACAAAGGTACTCCTGGCTATTGCCATCTTTGTCATATACAGATGACACAGGTACTCCTGGCTATTGCCATCTTTGGCATATACAGACGGCACAGGTACTCCTGGCTGTAGCCATCTTTGTCATATACAGACGGCACAGGTACTCCTAGCTGAAGCCATCTTTGTCATATACAGACGACACAGGTACTCCTGGCTATTGCCATCTTTGTCATATACAGACGGCACAGGTACTCCTGGCTGTAGCCATCTTTGTCATATACAGACGGCACAGGTACTCCTGGCTGAAGCCATCTTTGTCATATACAGACGACACAGGTACTCCTTGCTATAGCCATCTTTGTCATATATAGACGACACAGGTACTCCTGGCTAAAGCCATCTTTGTCATATACAGACGACACAGGTACTCCTGGCTATTGCCATCTTTGTCATATACAGACGACACAGGTACTCCTGGCTATTGCCATCTTTGTCATATACAGACGACACAGGTACTCCTGGATATAGCCATCTTTGTCATATACAGACGACACAGGTACTCCTGGCTATTGCCATCTTTGTCATATACAGACGGCACAGGTACTCCTGGCTGTAGCCATCTTTGTCATATACAGACGACACAGGTACTCCTGGCTATAACCATCTTTGTCATATACAGACGACACAGGTACTCCTGGCTATAGCCATCTTTGTCATATACAGACGACACATGTACTCCCGGCTATTGCCATCTTTGTCATATACAGACGGCACAGGTACTCCTTGCTATTGCCATCTTTGTCATATACAGACGGCACAGGTACTCCTGGCTATTGCCATCTTTGTCATATACAGACGGCACAGGTACTCCTGGCTATTGCCATCTTTGTCATATACAGACGGCACAGGTACTCCTGGCTATAGCCATCTTTGTCATATACAGACGGCACAGGTACTCCTGGCTGAAGCCATCTTTGTCATATACAGACGACACAGGTACTCCTTGCTATAGCCATCTTTGTCATATACAGACGACACAGGTACTCCTGGCTAAAGCCATCTTTGTCATATACAGACGACACAGGTACTCCTGGCTATTGCCATCTTTGTCATATACAGACGACACAGGTACTCCTGGCTATTGCCATCTTTGTCATATACAGACGACACAGGTACTCCTGGCTATAGCCATCTTTGTCATATACAGACGACACAGGTACTCCTGGCTATTGCCATCTTTGTCATATACAGACGGCACAGGTACTCCTGGCTGTAGCCATCTTTGTCATATACAGACGACACAGGTACTCCTGGCTATAACCATCTTTGTCATATACAGACGACACAGGTACTCCTGGCTATAGCCATCTTTGTCATATACAGACGACACATGTACTCCCGGCTATTGCCATCTTTGTCATATACAGACGGCACAGGTACTCCTTGCTATTGCCATCTTTGTCATATACAGACGGCACAGGTACTCCTGGCTATTGCCATCTTTGTCATATACAGACGGCACAGGTACTCCTGGCTATAACCATCTTTGTCATATACAGACGACAAAGGTACTCCTTGCTATTGCCATCTTTGTCATATACAGACGGCACAGGTACTCCTGGCTATTGCCATCTTTGTCATATACAGACGGCACAGGTACTCCTGGCTATAGCCATCTTTGTCATATACAGACGACAAAGGTACTCCTGGCTATTGCCATCTTTGTCATATACAGACGACACAGGTACTCCTGGCTATTGCCATCTTTGGCATATACAGACGGCACAGGTACTCCTGGCTGTAGCCATCTTTGTCATATACAGACGGCACAGGTACTCCTAGCTGAAGCCATCTTTGTCATATACAGACGACACAGGTACTCCTGGCTATTGCCATCTTTGTCATATACAGACGGCACAGGTACTCCTGGCTGTAGCCATCTTTGTCATATACAGACGGCACAGGTACTCCTGGCTGAAGCCATCTTTGTCATATACAGACGACACAGGTACTCCTTGCTATAGCCATCTTTGTCATATACAGACGACACAGGTACTCCTGGCTAAAGCCATCTTTGTCATATACAGACGACACAGGTACTCCTGGCTATTGCCATCTTTGTCATATACAGACGACACAGGTACTCCTGGCTATTGCCATCTTTGTCATATACAGACGACACAGGTACTCCTGGATATAGCCATCTTTGTCATATACAGACGACACAGGTACTCCTGGCTATTGCCATCTTTGTCATATACAGACGGCACAGGTACTCCTGGCTGTAGCCATCTTTGTCATATACAGACGACACAGGTACTCCTGGCTATAACCATCTTTGTAATATACAGACGACACAGGTACTCCTGGCTATAGCCATCTTTGTCATATACAGACGACACATGTACTCCCGGCTATTGCCATCTTTGTCATATACAGACGGCACAGGTACTCCTTGCTATTGCCATCTTTGTCATATACAGACGACACAGGTACTCCTGGCTATTGCCATCTTTGTCATATACAGACGGCACAGGTACTCCTGGCTATAACCATCTTTGTCATATACAGACGACACAGGTACTCCTGGCTATAGCCATCTTTGTCATATACAGACGACACATGTACTCCCGGCTATTGCCATCTTTGTCATATACAGACGGCACAGGTACTCCTTGCTATTGCCATCTTTGTCATATACAGACGGCACAGGTACTCCTGGCTATTGCCATCTTTGTCATATACAGACGGCACAGGTACTCCTGGCTATAACCATCTTTGTCATATACAGACGACAAAGGTACTCCTTGCTATTGCCATCTTTGTCATATACAGACGGCACAGGTACTCCTGGCTATTGCCATCTTTGTCATATACAGACGGTACAGGTACTCCTGGCTATAGCCATCTTTGTCATATACAGACGACAAAGGTACTCCTGGCTATTGCCATCTTTGTCATATACAGACGGCACAGGTACTCCTGGCTGTAGCCATCTTTGTCATATACAGACGGCACAGGTACTCCTAGCTGAAGCCATCTTTGTCATATACAGACGACACAGGTACTCCTGGCTATTGCCATCTTTGTCATATACAGACGGCACAGGTACTCCTGGCTGTAGCCATCTTTGTCATATACAGACGGCACAGGTACTCCTGGCTGAAGCCATCTTTGTCATATACAGACGACACAGGTACTCCTTGCTATAGCCATCTTTGTCATATACAGACGACACAGGTACTCCTGGCTAAAGCCATCTTTGTCATATACAGACGACACAGGTACTCCTGGCTATTGCCATCTTTGTCATATACAGACGACACAGGTACTCCTGGCTATTGCCATCTTTGTCATATACAGACGACACAGGTACTCCTGGCTAAGGCCATCTTTGTCATATACAGACGACACAGGTACTCCTGGCTATAGCCATCTTTGTCATATACAAACGGCACAGGTACTCCTGGCTATTGCCATCTTTGTCATATACAGACGGCACAGGTACTCCTGGCTATAGCCATCTTTGTCATATACAGACGACACAGGTACTCCTGGCTATAGCCATCTTTGTCATATACAGACGGCACAGGTACTCCTGGCTATTGCCATCTTTGTCATATACAGACGGCACAGGTACTACTGGCTATAGCCATCTTTGTCATATACAGACGACACAGGTACTCCTGGCTATTGCCATCTTTGTCATATACAGACGACACAGGTACTCCTGGCTATTGCCATCTTTGTCATATACAGACGGCACAGGTACTCCTGGCTGTAGCCATCTTTGTCATATACAGACGGCACAGGTACTCCTGGCTAAAGCCATCTTTGTCATATACAGACGGCACAGGTACTCCTGGCTATAGCCATCTTTGTCATATACAGACGACACAGGTACTCCTGGCTATAGCCATCTTTGTCATATACAGACGGCACAGGTACTCCTGGCTATTGCCATCTTTGTCATATACAGACGGCACAGGTACTACTGGCTATAGCCATCTTTGTCATATACAGACGACACAGGTACTCCTGGCTAAAGCCATCTTTGTCATATACAGACGACACAGGTACTCCTGGCTATTGCCATCTTTGTCATATACAGACGGCACAGGTACTCCTGGCTGTAGCCATCTTTGTCATATACAGACGACACAGGTACTCCTGGCTATAGCCATCTTTGTCATATACAGACGACACAGGTACTCCTGGCTATTGCCATCTTTGTCATATACAGACGGCACAGGTACTCCTGGCTGTAGCCATCTTTGTCATATACAGACGGCACAGGTACTCCTGGCTAAAGCCATCTTTGTCATATACAGACGGCACAGGTACTCCTGGCTAAACCCATCTTTGTCATATACAGACGGCACAGGTACTCCTGGCTATTGCCATCTTTGTCATATACAGACGGCACAGGTACTCCTGGCTAAAGCCATCTTTGTCATATACAGACGACACAGGTACTCCTGGCTATTGCCATCTTTGTCATATACTCGAGCACGGGTATGGTGCTGACAAACCTAGAAACATAATCGGGTCGAACCTGGATTCGAACCAACTAGATGGTTTATACATCCACCTCACATGTCGGGTACCCATTACCTGCTGGGTGAACAGAGGCACATTTGAACTAAGTGTACAGTGAGTGTACTGTACACTAGGGGAAGTCACAACACTGTAAACATTGTTGGTCCCAAGGCTGAATAAACCGGTCACTAGCGGGATACGATCTCAGCACCTGGTGCTTACTTGCCTGGCACTTTTGACCGCTTGCCCACTCCGCCCTGTCAATTAAATGAGTTACTAAACAGTTATCAAATATATTGACAAATCAGTTTCATATGGTCAGCCATTTAGCTCAGGTAATGTTTCACGTTTCATGTAAATTTCAGAGTACAGAGTTACAGTTCCGACAATGAACCGGAGAAGCCCGAGAAGAACCCTCCGATCAGTTTTACCAACCATCACCTGGACCCTCTGATCACTATGTGATGACGAACGTGTCAAGTGAAGGATATTCACCGTCGCTGTAGCGACATGTACATAGAAAAAAGAATTATTCAAATATGCCCTCTCTGCTGAACATGTTCATTGACAACCCGTGTGGCGTCATCTCCATCACGGGCGTGATGTCCTCTGTCGCTATGGTTATATATATATATATATTAATTCACAACGACAAAACATAAGTTTCAAATACTTTCTTGTTCATCATCAGACCACCGGCCATTCGTATCGGTTGGGCCACATTGTAATATATCACACATCGTGCCTACAATGTCTCCCACTTGCATTCTCGGTTCTAGCCTCCGCTTACCTCAGCTGCCCCCCTGATACCCCCTGATACCCCCTGATGCCGTGTGACAGACTGCCCTGTACTCCAAAAACAAGCATTTCTTAAAATGTACAAGTCAAAAAGAAACGCGAATAACATAATTGTAGCTTAATATATGGAGAATAACACGTATTCAAGAGATGCTAGGTTGGTTCGATGCACACACGGACATACTGTTATGGTGTGTGAACGGATACTCATGGACGCATCACATGTACGCATGAACGCATCATAGATGCATGATTCGAGATGAACCATTTTTCTTGAGCAGGATTAGCGTGTAAAGTTTGGAAATCACGTGGAGTATATCGTGATAAGAATAAAGACACTGTGGTAACACTGCCTGGTTGTTAGTTTTGTCATTAAGTGGTAAACATTGAAAACATGAAAGGACAAATTCAATGTCCATTTCACATTTCAACTAAAGAAACCTGTTTTATTTATTCTTCGTCTCTTTGTATTCGTAACTGTTTTACTACGTGAGTGGTCGGGTGTTCTGTGTTCTGATTGGTGTGATTGTGAATACGGTGATCCTATATTAATTGATCTAAGGAATATTCAACGTATTCTATAAGATTTCACATCGGAATTATGATATCATGAATTTGTTTACCTCACGTTCCATTTCATAACAGCTCAAATACGCTTAGATAATTATATATGATATTATTACCCCGGTCACAGGATCAGTATGCCCTTGACATTCATTCCCAGCTCCCTGAGGGGTATACCACCCAAGCAGCCTGTGAGGCGGTAGAAGGTTCACAGTCAGCATCTCCCCATACCGTTATATATATATATATAAAATAAAATAATAAAGTCCACGTTAGTCCATCATCTTCTTTATATCAGTTTCATACATAGTACTTTCGCTGTCTCATGAAAGCTCTTCAGTGTAACTGACAATGACATATAATGACGCCATACTTATGATGACGTCATAAATTACAACTGTGACGTCATAATGTATTTACACACTCCAGCGACGACACCAAGTAATTTAACAATTGTACAGTTATATATATATATATTATAAACTGAAACTCCTTTAGCATTCACCTTGTTAATCCGGTATACCGGTAAATCTAAACTGCCGGGTAAAAGAAACTACGAACTTGAAAATTGGATTTGACCCAAACATTACAAACGTTAACAAAACGTTACTAGGCTGAAAACAGTCGCCGAAACACTGCCGACTTAAGGTCCAAAACACAACTATGATACCCGTATCAAATACATCACCGTTGGATAACCATTGTTTTCTTTGTTTCATTCGTTGTTTCCTTTTGCCCGGCAGTTCACGAAGAGCCTTCACATTCTCAAACCGCGTTACTCGGGAACAATGATTCGTTAATCCAGATATGTATTTATTGGATCTGTCCGTTAAAAGGGGTTTCGCTGCATATGTGTGTAAAAGTGTGTGATAGAACCTGTTTGATTGGCATTCTGATAGAGGCATGTGTTGGAGTGGACATAATTCTAACAGGTCGGGAACAACGTTGAGAAGTCAATCTTGTCATTGAGAAGGGTACCGTCCGAATGAAACAAGCTTCGTTAGATCCGCAGACTTTTGACGACGATGAACTAGCGCTGTCACTATTTAAAGGCACTGTATCCCTTTATGTAATGACACTACATGGTTCAAGCCTTCGTGCTCAAATGCTATCGAGACTCGTAACCCGAGAACACAGAGGGGGTAGATTGAAACGGATTTACCGGCATCAATAAACGATAACATTAATATTTACACACACGAATTTGTAGTTTTCTGTAAACAATATGCCTTGTGATCTTTCAAAGTGCCTCTTCTGTTGAATGTCCGACTCAGTGACACATTTCTTGATTGGTAAAAAATTATCAACGCAAGAGATTAACCAGTCTAGATTATCCATACAATTTGGCGTAAAGATGAAAATAGCTCTGACAACTATACTCAACAACAAAAGCTCCTGTGACACCAATATTTTAGTGTATTTTTCAAACAAGTAAAGTTTGGTTTTCAATATTGTAGTACATGTATGGAATCAAGTCACAAAAACGCAGCTGCTACAGAAAAGCAGACGCCAGAAGACCCGCCAGACGTCTCATTTTGACAGGCAACCACCGTCAAGCACGTCTACAGTGACGCAGACAGCGTCTACGCTGGACGGCCATGCAGTGGGGACAAGTTCTATTCACTGACGAGTCTCGTTTTCACCTCAGCCACAGCGATGGACGGATTCGGGTGTACCGACGTCGAGGTGAACGTTACGTCAATCATTGTGTCATGGAAGAAGATCGGTTCGGGGCGGCAGCGTTATGGTATGAGGTGGGATTACAGCAAGACGGAGGAACCGTTTGATATTGGTAGAGGAAAATCTCAATGGACAGCGCTACCGCGACGAGATTATCGGCCCTGTTGTTCTACCGTTTTTGCGTCGTCTTGGCCTGTCAACATGACAACGCCCGCCCTCATATTGCTCGACTTGTTCAGGATTCTCTTCAACAAAACAACGTAAATGTCATCCCTGGCCGGCTCGTTCCCCTGATCTCTCACCAATCACATGTGGGATGAGATGGATCGGCGCCTTCGACGTCAACCACGTGATCCACAGACACTCCATGAACTTCGAAACATGCTCCAGCAGATATGGACAGATATACAACAGGACCCTGTACGACGCTTGCTCCATTTTCATGGACACACACGCTATTGATTTGTAAACTGACATTTTGGCATGTTCATGTTTTTTTATGAAATCACGCATTTTCGGAAGTCGCATTTTCGGCAAATTAAACCATTTGAACACTTACAGGAGTCTTTTATCTGTTGCAAAGCGAAATTGTTTCAGATTTGGTAAAAAACATACATTTGTATTAAATCTTATTCAATTTCACAGGAACTTTTGTTGTTCAGTATATTTGAGAGTGGGATTTAACGCCCTTTTTTCAGCACTATACCAGCAATATCATGGGAACATGACAACGGGCATCTAACCATACCGAAACTTCAGCCCTGGCATTCGGCCCGAAGTGCAAACACTTTGGAACTAATTTTTATTTGGAATAAGTTGAATGAGGGACAGGTAATCGGTGTTGTGTGAACTGATACCCGCTGTACAAATCATATATACTAAACCTCACTATATCGAAGTCGTGTACTACCGAAACCATATCAGTAGTTCGAGCCTCTGGTGCGATGAGGATCAAGTTCGTGTTATCAAGCGTGTTTTTCTGTTCTGATCTACGAAAGATTTACAGTACACACTTAACAGTTTGCACGTATCAAGTACAATAGCTTCCATTCTTTCAGGCCGCATTTTTATATGCAGCCAGGCAAAATATTTCTGCAGGAATGAAACTGACTAGGTATTCTCTTGTGATGAAAATGGGAATACATTGCGACAGCGCTGTCATCAAGTATCTCCAACTGAAAGGGCTCACAACAACAGTCATCCATGCGGACACGGTGCCCACTCTAGAAGATGGTGCTACTTCCTTTGTCGCTGTGCCAAGCCGAGGTCAGTGAGTTAGTGAGAGAGTTTTGTTTTACGCCGCTTTTAGCAATATTCCAGCAATATCACCGCGCAATTAATGGGCTTCACACATTGTACCTATGTCGGGAATCGACCCCGAGTCTTCGGCGTGACGAGCGAACGCTTCAACCGCAAGGCTACCCGACCGCCCGCGGAGGTCAGGACGGGAAGAGGTCGAGGATGAAGACATTCAACGGCCACCGCTAATGAAAATACTGATAAAGTACATGATCGCATTTGAGACAATCGACGACTCACCACACGCCACAAAGCTTATACATTAGGCATCTATAATAAAGGTTTTAGCAAGTTGAGTTCTAAGGCTTCTGACCCCTGATCGGAAACGCTCCAGGTTCACCATCTGTCATAAACAGATGAGTCTTGGGTTAACCACTGTCAACCAGAGACGAAACAACACGTTGGAAACATCTATCTCTTCCTAAGAAAGGTAAGTCTGCTCCATCACCTGGTGGACTACCTCCCGTAACGTTACCCCATTAATGGCCGATATTATTTTAATCTGGTCAGGCAACTGTGTGAGAATAGCAACGCTAAACGTCGTGAAAAACTCACTAACGGTGTGTTATGCCACCAGGTCAATGCACCTGTGCACAAACTTCTGGTGTGGCTTTGAACATCTTCCGCATTCTCCAGAATCGCCTGAAGTCCACATCAACTTGAAGAAAACTGTCTGGTAGGCATAATGCAAGCTATGATGTCTTGTTTGCTGTGAAGGACGTTTTACGGAACCCGGAGGAAGCATTCTACACCAATGGGGTCCAGGCACATGAGCACCGTTGGCACAAGTGTTTGGACCGGCGGTAGGGGGTTGGGGGCGTGGTGGTGTTGGGGAGGATTTATGTTGAAAAATAAGTCGCAAGCAACTCCATCAACGCAGTTCATCAAATTTAGGCGCAGATTTTTTTCAGCCACCCTTCTTATAGTGCATGGATGAATCTTGCAACGAACAGCCGCCATCAAGTCTAGGCTTCAGCTACATGGTGTCGTGTATATGACAAGAAATATAGAGTCAAGGGAGTTAAGTGATTGCCCTTTACTACATTATGTTTGCTTTACACGCGTTTCGTTTGATGGTTCGTAGCTAAGGGTTTCAAGGAGGGCCGACTGGCTCCACTTCTTACAGACACTCCCACCAATCCGACTCCACTCACGTATTTCAATTGAAATGTTGCACACGGATCGGAAGTTGATGAGGGGAAGAAGTGGCGAGGATGGGAAGTGTTGATGCTGGTGTCTGTGTATTAATAATACTGAATACACTCAGTGACCGGTCTGTCTCGCTCTCCCGCTTTCTCGCATTCTCGCATTCAAGCTAAAGATGCCAAAAGTGCAGGAAAGCGAGATTTGGTGACATTTGGATATGATGTAATAGCGGCTTGTCAAATCAGGACACAAAAACACGAAATTGCGAGAAATCGAGAATGCGGCATTTCATGTACTCACGTCCTCGTATTCTTGCGTTTTAGACGCCGTCTGTGCGCATGCGTAATATCATAAGGTCAAGGCGCATGCGCACCTTTATTACACTTCATCATTTTCCTAGTAGCATTAAGCCAAATTATGGCTTAACTTCAAAATGCTTTGTAATCTACACAAACAACTGTTATGTAATGAACAGAAGTCCCTCCCGTTGTTACAGTTGGTGTGTACAATTATAACCCTCGACATTCGACATGCTCAATACGATTTTACCAAAACAAATTGTGTCCTTTAATGTCCAATGATAATGAAAAATTAAAGTGTTCGGAAACTGGAAACAACAATAGCACCGTCAGTCGTTTGGTTAGTGGTTGTAATACTCCTATATACTGGTAGAATTACTAAATACAATTACCTTACATCAAGTAGAGGTTAGATAACATTCTGATTACTTCACATCAGTCAAATACACATTTCAGTGGGTATTGTGACCTTATTATACTTATACATATAATAACTTTGACTATTGTAGTTAACGTTCAGAATTAGTTTTCTCAGCAAATGCCCCATGAACCTTTTGTACGTGTACATACAGTGTATTGCAGCTACCTGGCCTATCACAGACACGTGAATACGGTTTCATACCTACAAGTCATTGGTCAATCACAAGCTGGTGACGTTATATGATACACAGCTAGAATATTTATTGATACAAAATTCACACAGACCTCTAGCTTGTACGATGTTTTACACGACAACGTAATTTCTTCTTTAATTATAATTAATAGATTTCTTTTCCCGACCTACAAAACATCCCACCTCACATTGTTTTTTGTCTCCAAGTTCCTACAGACAAAAATATCGTTGATATGTGTGTTCCTTTTTTTTCATTTGATGAAATACTCCACACATGTAGCCCTACTTAACACGCTTGATGCATGTAAATCGCATCCTTCGATATTAATTGTACCCAGATACCTTAAATAGCTGGTTTAGAAAAAACCGCCACCCTCATCCCATAATTCAAGTGAATTAATGAAAAACAATTTTTTAATGTGCCCTTAACATATTAAGTATGCTTACATTATATTGGACATGTGACCAAATTCACAGCCCTATGCACGGGCATGGCTATCAGTAAGTGAGCGAGTTAGGGCTAACACCCAATTCACAGTCCGAGGCACGGGCATGGCTATCAGTAAGTGAACGAGTTAGGGCTAACACCCAATTCACAGCCCGATGCACGGGCATGGCTATCAGTAAGTGAGCGAGTTAGGGCTAACACCCAATTCACAGCCCGATGCACGGGCATGGCTGTCAGTAAGTGAACGAGTTAGGTCTGACACCCAATTCACAGCCCTAGGCATGGGCATGGTTATCAGTAAGTGAGCGAGTTAGGTCTAACACCGCTTTGGACAGTATTTCAGTTATATCACGGCTTGTCAGCTTGAGATGGGAGAAAATCCAGCATTATACGTTTCTGGCACGACTAAGGGATGCAACTCTACACAGCGAATTACGACGCCTTAGGCCCGTGCTCCCGGCTCTAGATGAAATAGAAATAAGGGCAGACATCGATGATATGTATTTAGTCACGTCTGTTTGCAGGAGAGCTAGGTCGTGTTCACATCTAAGAATCAAGGGGGGTCTCAGGGGGGCCATTTGACAACATGCCAGTTCCTGTCTTCGTCGGGTGTGGTGACACGTGGTCTGTCTGCCCTGGGCCTGTCCACTGTCGTGTGCATTGTGTGTAAACTGTCTGACCCGAGTCTGTCCACTGCCTGCCCCGAATCTGTCCACTGTCTGTCCACTGTCAGTGCATTGTGTGTAAACTGTCTGACCTGGGTCTGTCCACTGTCTGTGCATTGTGTGTAAACTGACTTCCCTGGGTCTGTCCACTGTCTGTCCATTGTGTGTAAACTGTCTGACCTGAGTCTGTCCACTGTCTGGCCTGAGTCTGTCCACTGTCTGTCCACTGTATATCCACTGTCTGACCTGAGTCTGTCCACTGTCTGCCCTGAGTCTGTCCACTGTATGTCCACTGTATATCCACTGTCTGCCCTGAGTCTGTCCACTGTCTGTCCACTGTATATCCACTGTCTGCGCTTGGTCTGTCCACTGTCTGTCCACTGTATATCCACTGTCTGACCTGAGTCTGTCCACTGTCTGGCCTGAGTCTGTCCACTGTCTGTCCACTGTATATCCACTGTCTGACCTGAGTCTGTCCACTGTCTGCCCTGAGTCTGTCCACTGTATGTCCACTGTATATCCACTGTCTGCCCTGAGTCTGTCCACTGTATGTCCACTGTATATCCACTGTCTGACCTGAGTCTGTCCACTGTCTGCCCTGAGTCTGTCCACTGTATGTCCACTGTATATCCACTGTCTGACCTGAGTCTGTCCACTGCCTGCCCCGAATCTGTCCACTGTCTGTCCACTGTCTGTGCATTGTGTGTAAACTGACTTCCCTGGGTCTGTCCACTGTCTGTCCATTGTGTGTAAACTGTCTGACCTGAGTCTGTCCACTGTCTGGCCTGAGTCTGTCCACTGTCTGTCCACTGTATATCCACTGTCTGACCTGAGTCTGTCCACTGTCTGCCCTGAGTCTGTCCACTGTATGTCCACTGTATATCCACTGTCTGCCCTGAGTCTGTCCACTGTATGTCCACTGTATATCCACTGTCTGCGCTTGGTCTGTCCACTGTCTGCTCCGAGTCTGTCCACTGTCTGTCCTTCCTGTCTATCCTTCCTGTCTGTCCACTGTATGTCCACTGTCTGCGCAGGGTATGTCCACTGTCTGCCCTGTGTCTGTCCACTGTCTGCGCTGGGTCTGTCCACTGTCTGCCCTTCCTGTCTGACCACTGTCTGTCCTGGGTCTGTCCACTGTCTGTCCTTCCTGTCTGCCGGTGACAGCAACTTTGTGATCCACGAGTGTGGCTCCCAACTACAGCATACCAATGTGTGGACGAACAGTGTGGGCTGTTTGCATTGTGTTAAATATTTGTATTCCACTATGCATACTTTAAATGCATTTATACATTTAGCTGCTTAAGTCATGTTACAACAAAAATAATACATTTAATTGAACCCGTTTCTGTTAGTTTGTAACGAACAGTTTATATGAACGTGTCATACACTTCTTAATGTGCCAACGACTCATATATCAGTGACTGACTATTCAGTATCCGGTTAGAGTGTCATTGTCCTGTTGAGTGTAAGGTCCAAGCAGGCACATTGAAACCCTTGCAGTGTATATATTATTTATAACACAAGATGGCGTCGGCACTGCTGATTGCTGTTTTAGTATCGTGCATTACAACCCTACAATGTTTCAATGAAAAAGGTAAGACAAGTAGTTTTAGCCCGTCATTAAATCCAGTTTATGGTAATACTATTAACATTAGCCTTGTGTATTTGTGGCGCGTCTCTTTTTGTTGGAAACCTTTGATAGGCATTTAGAGGTTGGAAGAACATAACCACATGACGCTTTTTTATGGACCATCACCTGCTGAAGCAGCAAGAAGTAGCTCTGAAACGTCGTACAAGGAATAAAAGAAGTTGCTATCCATAAAATAAGTGCCATGTATTCATCATTATTGCTTGTCTGTATAGATACTGATGATGAATGAGGCTTAGCATTGATCCCAAATGGCAAATTTACGTGAATGGAAATACTTACTAGCAGACCACATGTAAGAACTTGCACATGATATTGACATGATTTTAATGACTGGTGACCGGTGAACAATTATGTTTGTCCAGTTTTTCGAGAACAATTCCTTTTTCAAAATCAGTATTTAATGCTTGTGAAAGTGACTACAATGGAGATGGGCAGTGAGACAAGGTGTGTTATCGTATCTCAACGACGGGGGACAGGGATAATGCTATCAACCGCTAGTTTGACAGACCCAGATTACTATTATTATGCCGTTATACAGTAGGAATATTTCTGACTGCGACGTAGACAATATGAAAATGTGTCGTTTTGTGAAGAGTTTACCATGTTGGTTGTGTTGTAGGCGAGGCCCCGACGCCCAGGTTCCTGACGAGAGACACAAATGTGACTGTGTTTGAAGGCTCAAATGTCCTGCTGCCCTGCGCCGTGCAACACCTCGGCACTAGCCAGGTTAGAATAATAACCTTGCAAATATTACCGCTAAGCTGCTCAATAAGGTGTAATTGCAACCGCATTCAGTATCTCAATTGAATTGACCCGTAAAGATGGAATAGGTCTTCAGCAACCCATGCTTGCCGTAAAAGGCGACTATGCTTGTCGTAAGAGGCGACTAACGGGATAGAGTTGTCAGGCTCGCCGGCTTGGTTGATGCATGTCATCATGTCCCAATTGGGTGGACCGATGTTTATGCTGTCAATTACTATATTGTCTGGTCCAGACTCGATTATTTGCAGACCGCCGTAATATCATTGCTGGAATATTGCTGAGTGCGGCGTTAAACAACAAACAAACAAACTAACACATCTCAATTAAAATTGAATAGAATCGAGTCATTCTATTAGTAGTCTACCATATCAGTATTCATAAACGTGTCCATGCAATATCTAACTATATTTATTGTAGACAAAAGTTTGGGTTTTGAACCTCCATGTTAGTACGTGAATGTGTGGTATGATGAAGACAATACAGTACGTAAGCCTAATCAAAGCAACACAACTATTTCCATAATCATAAGAAATCTCTGCTAAAAGCATACTCCATTGCACAATCAGGTGCTTATGTAATATTATCCTGTTTGCGAAAAGGTGAGCGTATGCCACCCACCGGTGACACCCTTCACAAACACATGCAAAGGAAAGTCAATTGTTCATCTGAAAACCAAGAAAATACATTTTTTGTCACTTTTGTCCTTGTCACATATCTACCACATCTATGATAAAACTTGTTGAAAGCCATAATAAAGCCTTAATAGCCATTATAAGGTCTTGAGGGCCATAATAAATACATTGAACGCAACCTTGTGGCTAGTTTTATGTCACTCTGAATCTTAATGTGTAGATGTAAATATGAAACAAATTGGGCGGTTTGCGTGGTCTCTTTTATGTGTAGTTAGTTCAGCTTGGTAAATTAGTGGAAGGAAAGTGTATAAGCTCAAAGCTTATTGTGAAAGGAATCGGGGAATGACAGTCAGAACATCTCCAGCATCATAATCTGTATGGTTCCTTTCAGTTTGCATACAGTCCATGCCACTGCACCAAACCAGCAACCTCCGGGTATCACACGACATCAGACTTGTGGGGGATGACGGCAACTTAGCTTTACTGGGTCTTATATTTAAGTGTCGCTTTTGAGACCAGCGAACATAATTTACTCCTTACGTTTTTTAAGTGACTTTGACATTTCTGGCTTTGCACAGTCCCAGTTCCAGTCGTATCAGGTTTCACTGATCATTACACTGCAAACACGAAAACGTCGTTTTTTTCCGTATATGGTCATTTGACGGAAAAACGACTAAAAATTCATTAAAATTGATTAATTGGTGAGCGTCTAGATATGTCCAGAAAAGGGTCGAGTTTTTCAAGCGTAAAATGGACGGAAAAACGATGCTTTTTGCTCCGCCTTGTACAACTGTTAACGGCCAATCAGATGGCGCTGGTCCCCCGACGCACTAGATTCCTAAGGCTTCCTTTCCAAAGCTTTAGGTTTCGTATTTCTGGCATGCCTTGCTCTAGTATCTGTCGCGCGCAGTGCAGCGAGATTTGCTGATAAGCCAGTTTTAGGATATGTAACATGTTAATGGAATTCAAGCACGCGCCAAGAGTCAAACCAAACAATGTTACCAAGTTTATTGTGGTAACATATCCCTCGGCTATGAACAGTTACCCCTATCGGCTAATGGGTAGTGTTTCATTTGGTTATAATAATAACTATTTTTTTAATGTGAAGTCTACAAGATATACGGCTAGGACGAGAGGTCGGTCACATGACGTTCTTCACGTGACTGTATTCTTGAAATGACGTAAACACTGACTACTTCCACATTCCTGGGGAAAACCCTTGGAATTCCGTAGTATGAATTCATACAGAAGCGTGGTTGCATGCCCGTTTAAAAATACCCTCGCTACAACCCATCCCAGAGAAAAAAACAAACGAAAAAAATATCCAAACTATCGTAGTGACAGCAATCTATGAATTTACCTTAGTATCTATTTGACACATCTTTACAATCACCTTTCAACGATCGGCCAACTGATCAGTGATGACAAAGGCTTGAAATAGCCACAGGTTGATTAACAACTTCGGAAATATCTCCCGTCACGTTTATCGTGTCGGCCATTTTGACGTATTGTACTTGATGTAAATGTATAACGACGCTCTGTCATTGTAATTTACTAACTGAGGTAATTCTGAAAAAGATCTCCTCATCTAATGAGGATATTGTTTGGAATATATTTCTTGTAAACATACTAAAACATATGTTCCTGGGGGGGGACTATTTTATTCCGGGATGGCCTATTAAAGCTAGCAGTAAGTCAAGGCACCATGCGTGTATATGATCTGTTATTATATGTGTTAAAATTACGGTTTGGGGCGTTAATAAAATACACTGACGCAAGTATATTCTATTCAAATCAATTGGATAATTGAATATGCTTTCTTTTACATATTACATAACAGCACTGCACAACATTTGAACAGTTGCAGTAACACACTACGGTAATCGCATTAAACACCATTTTCAACTGTACAGTATTTCAGTATTTCAGTTATATCACGGTGTATCAGACTCATGTGGGATTAAAATCCGAATTGGTTCAGGCCATCCAACGGGTGTTCGGGAAAAGGTGAGCGTATCCTGCCACACAAGTGGCACCCGTCACAAACACACGCAAGGACAAGTCAATTGTTCACCTGAACAAAGCACGGAAACACACAATGATGCCCGTCCTCACTTTTACCGAGCATGTTAATTATATTGTCCGTCAAAAACATGGACGAGTATAAACAATATGTTCATTCACGTAATACATGTCATACATTTTGACAAAATGTATTTACTCGGAGCATTATTGTTAATCACAACGTATAGACTCGGCATGCAGTTGAACTCATCACTCATCCCATTATTGATAATCCTTCTTAAAGATCTATGAAATCAGAAGCTGCAACACTTTATCTTTTAATTGGCATGTCAGACTTCTATTTCATAACTCAGTTTTATTTGCACGGATCAGTATGGAAGGGACATTGTCGCGTTGTCGCATTGTCGCATTGACGCCCTTGCAAAAACAAGCAAAACGTGTCAAAATTAACAAAAGCACGACAATTGGCCATTTGTCGCATTGTCGCGTGTTTGCATTGTCGCTCTTTGAATAATCCTTTTCTTTATTTTACAAAAGGGCGACGATGCCGTAACGCGACATTTTCAAGGTCAAAATATGTCTCGTTGTCGCATTGTCGCCCCATCACAAATGTGTATAAAAGACGTAAAGTTCAGTTAATGTTACAGTTAGGGAGCGGTAACCAAGTTACATCTGTCGTAGAAGTTCAACCTGATACATGTAAGTCTTGAAATGAAAACACAAGTCTGTCCGCGAGTCCATAACGTTTTATTGTGAGCTCTTCTCTAAAAGTGCTTTGACTCCCAGTTCCAAACACGTAGTACCTCATCAACAATCAAAAGGGGTAGGAAATGTGTGCTCCAGCCCAGCGCAGACCTCGCAACACACTGTATACTGAATGTTGTATACAGTATATTGCAGTTGATATACTGTATACTGCATGTGATACTTATTAGCGGAAATGTTACAACTTTCAAGATTCAAGATTCAATTTGCATTTATTTCATATACAACAGACCGCCGTCATTTATAACTGGAATACTGCTGATAGCGGCGTTAAACCAATTTGTTTTCATAATGGAGCGCTGCAGTCATTTAAAATAGAACCGTAAACATATGTAGTACCAACTCACTCACTCTGTTTCGAATATTCAGCAGAAAATATATTATTAACCAGGTCTTTGGGAAGAGATATCAGATTTTTATAAGCAGTCACATAGGGATGATAAAGGACCCCTCGCTGATAAGGTTCTTGTTTACTTAAGAGCAGAGTTGGCCATGTTAGATGATATAACCAAAATCCAGGAGCTCTGGCGGGGGGCAATCTGGTCTTGTTAGTGTATGGTATGAGCTGTGGCGTTGACCCAAGAGAATAATGTAAAAAATGAGACCAACTCAAGTCTATCATGATTGGGAAAGTCTAGATTTCCACAGCCCTAGCCTGAAATTAAGAATTGTTCTAGGCTCCATTTTAATTGTATTATGTTCATTTTGTAGACATGGATGGACCAACCAGGAGAGAAATTGATGGAATATTAATATCACATGTTACCACTGATCCAGTTAAATTCATCACACAATAATATATTAGTATTTGACATTACGGCATTTGATTATTAGGGCATGATCATGTACATGTGCACTGTAGTAATGTACACACCAGTCAACTTGATTATAATTTTTATTACAGTTTAGCGCGGCATCAACGATTACTTTATGATATCCTCACTTGTCATCGATGTATTGACATCGAACAATGGACGACAATTCGGAATTCTTATAAATAGCTTCAATAGGGACAGCGCCGGTGTCAGTACAATTTTCCTAGTTAAAAATATGTCTCTACAAAATATAATCTGAAGCAGACAAGAACAATATTTTTTTTAATTAATGCTTACTTTCATGGATAGAATTGAGTCAATCTAGGCTTGCCAAATCGTTCTAGACTTGAGCTGGATTCCTTTTAAATTTATTCTCTATGGTCTGGGAGACGAACGGGCGTCAGTATCGCATGGAGAACTAGGACAGCCTGAATCAGTGTAATCGGATATGTTGTGGAGTTTCGGTTTGGGGCTGTTTGCTGAATAGAACAAGGGCTCACGAACAAGGGCACAATGTAGAGATTAAATCATTACCACCTCTCTTTATATCGGATATGTTATTATGATTTGAAATCTCTTTTGGAGAATTGCGAGTTATGTATACTCTGTATTCTTTCGTCATGGTAGCATATAAATTTTCTATGTTGCTTTTTGAATTATCCACAAATAATGATAACTACTACTACTGAAGGGCATATCTGAAAAATGGGACTTATCGACAAATATT